AGAAAATTTATAGCCCCATCTCCTATCTACTTAATACAGTTTCCAATTAGTGTATTGAATATTAGTTATAGGCTGTTTTGCTTTACATTCTATTAAGTAATATCTTTCATTTTTGAAACGTGATGTTAAATTTGTCTATGAGTCTAGATTAACTTAAACAGTCGGGATAAATATTTTAATTTAATTCCTACTTCCACTATCAACATTATCCAATTCGTATCTACTTAAGCTCTGTTAATCCTACATTCATATTATGTTTGTAAAATTAATAAAATTCAGCTAAAGTAATAGTACTACCATATGGTAGTACATCATATGATGTATCACCAATTTAGGCGTAATAAAAAAAATATCACCTATTTATTATAATTCCACGACCAAAATAAAGCTAGATTTTATAAAACACTAATACTCTGCCATAAAGAATATTGCTAATGGCATAATCTTATCATCCTTATAATTATAGAGGGACGTAATAAAGTTGAGAGTGGTGTTGAACAATCTTCGGTTTAAATCTTTTTACTTCACCATTAGAAACTTTAATGAGACCTGTCAATTTTGTACTTTCTCGAGCGTTAAAAGATCCGCCGATTAATGCGGAGAATCTCTGCTTCCATTTCCTCATTTGGCAGAAATGGGATATTTGATAGGCTCAACGAGTAGGTACATAGTACATATTATTTTTATGAATAACATTGTATATGTAATATTGCACCAAATTGTATACATCATATATTGTTAAATAAATATAGTCGGGTTATTATGCAAAAAATTTGACTATGGACAATATGTATTTAAAATATTTATACATTGCGTTAAAATAGGAATAAAATACTAGTTATTGTAAGTTAAGTGATTTCTAACACAGCCTACGCTTAATTCAAAATATTACGGTTTCGTCAGTCCTTTAATGGATCAGTCACACATTTAAACCACACGTTAACGTCCTTATAACTGTTAACGATTGCAAAGGGTTATTATCATTTGGAAGTCCAAGAAGACATTTATTTATTAAAAAGGTACAATATAATATCATGGAGTGTGAAATTATTGACAACTGTGTAACATCTTGGAGTAGATGTACAAAAACATACAGTATAGAGGTTGACAGAACGGTAGGCTATCCCCAAACGAGCTCTTTCGTTTGCCGATTTTTAATCTGTGAAAGAAGTGGGACGATTTAACGATTAGATAAACTTATTTTTCACATAATCACATGGTACTTAAAGCATATTCTCGGCATAAGCATATACTACAAAGTACAAACAACATGAATTTCAAAACACATATTTCAAAATAACAGCCGAAAATAAGTATGCTAAATTCTAAAGTCTAATGCTCCATGTACTGTATAATTTACTTGATAACAGTAAATATATATACTCGAAATAACATTTATCGTAAGTTACTATGAACTAATTTGTAAAAAAAATGCTCAGTTATGATAAAATCGGAAGCTGTTGCCAATATCAATTTAATACCTTTTTGCCCGACTGCGCGACGCAAAGGAAAGTAATGTGTTTATCAGTCTATGTATGTATTGATGCCAAACTGCAATGGGACCTCTATATTAATAGACTGGCGAGTAGACTTAGCTCAGCAGCTTTCGCGGCCAAAAAAATATGACAGTTAACTGATGTAGATACGGCTCGCATGGTATATTTTAGTTATTTTCACAGTATGTCTTATGGCATTCTGCTTTGGGGTAGCGCGGCCGTCATTAATACAATCTTTATCTTACAAAAGAGAGCTATTCGTGCAATTTACAATCTGGGCCCCAAAGAATCGTTAAGAAACTTGTTTAAAGAGATAAAGGTATTGACTGTTGCTGCTCAATACATTTTTGAAAATGTTTTGTATGTCCATAAAAATAAGGATAAATTTTTAAGACATAATAATGTTCATGATATAAATACTAGGAACAAAAATAAATTGATCCTACCCACAAGTAGACTCCGTAAAATAAGTAAATCTTTTATGGGACAATGTATACGTTATTACAACAAAATTCCAGAAAACGTTCAAAATGCATCAATAGCTAAATTTAAAAAAAATAGTAAAAGAACGTTTGTGTGTTAAAGGCTACTATAATATTAATGATTATTGAAATGATAACACACTCTGGTAATGAACTGATCGCTCCAGGCTCTTTCAATCGGAGTTCTTAAGGCCCATTTACACGATGCCATTTTCTTGTACATACAAGAGCAATAATTGAATGCAATAAATTGCGCGCAATAATTGTTAAGACCATTTGTTGTTTAGACCATGCAACTCATTTATTGCTTCAATTTAATTGTATACAACAGGCAAGAAACTGGCACCGTGTAAATGGGTCTTAATGCTCCTATGTTGAATACATACATTTGATTTTGATTTGATTTTGATATGCTTGTTCCTACGTATCGTTGTAGAGACCATCATTTTTCATTTTAAGTAACAATTTAGGTTACATAACGATTTAGTTGTTTAACCACCATACTTTTTTTTGTTAACGTGGGGGAAATTCTTACGCATACCCTCGCGGGTGCAAGGACGGGTTATGTCGGACTCGCACCGACTAAGACCCACACAATGTTCCACCCAGGCGCATATCGGCAGGGCCACGAGAACGCTTTCGAACACTTCCTCGACCCTTCCAGCGCTGGCCGCCTTAGCAGCTCCTTTTCGGAGCAAGGCACGCTGGAATATCCAGCGTCCTTCTCGTCACCATTTTCACGGCCAACGAACTCCCGCTGACAAGAAGCCATGGGAACCAGGAGAGCCAGTGCTCCCAGCCCCCAGCGGCGGAACTGGTCGGTAGCTCCACCGCTCACCAAGTTTCGGCCGCGGAGGTCAGGGAGAATGGCGAATCACAATACCGGCACTCCTCTGCCCGCGCGGCCCCACCCCCACCGCATCAGCGGTAGGCATGTCGAAAAAATATCGATATCAACATTTTTGATTTTATATTTTAGCCGATATTTTAACCGATATATTTGGACCAGATATATTAGGTATATAGATATATTAGGTATATAAAATATTCCACATCGAAATCATATCAAAAACGATATTTTTTCGAATTCAAATCCGGCACAGTGTCCGTAGATGTCAAGTATTTAATACTAGATATACCTTACAATGGGTCCTAAACGAGAAGACAGGGAGAGTGGCTTTTTCTGTACCACCCTCGACCTGTCCCCTGTACCCTCCAGCACACTTTCGCAGTGGACTTATAGAGCCCACACCACTCGGTGAGAGTATTAGTGATCTGTGGCCCACACGGTGCGGCCCCCTCAAGCCGGCCTTACACCTCACACCTGTCCAGTGTGAGTTACTTAACTTCGCCGTGGGTAATCAAGCCACGACTACTAAACCCCTCCGCCACGAGAAGGCGGGAACCCGCCCAAAGGGTAAGCGACCATCCTAACCAATTTTCATACTTATAATAGGTATTTTAAATGTACTTTAGTATTTCGTTATTCTGCCCTTATTACGCGGGGATTAAGGTAAAATATTAATCATATAATTATTATTAATATTTATTATTATTCATCGACTTCCCGCACATTTGCAGGTGGCTCAGGATCGTACTTCGTGGCAGTCTATGGGGGAGGCCTATGTTCAGCAGTGGACTCAAACAGGCTGAAATGATGATGATGATGATGATTTATTATTATTATTATTTATTAACAGAGCAATGCGAGTTAGAAGGATAATTGAGTGGCGAGCTCAAAGGCGGGTTACGGAACCCGCCTATGAAATACGGGCCTGTTTTACTCAAATATTTCTAAGAATCCGCTGTTTATTTGTCTGTCAGTCTGTCACCAGCCTGTATCTCATGAATCGTGATAGTTATGACACTTGAAATTTTCACAGATGACGTATTACTGTTAGCGCTATAACTCCTCTTATTTTTTTTTTTAATATTGCCCTCTAGGATAACATTATCCTGTGTTATAAGGACGTTTTAAAAACATAAATTGCACGAAGACCCAGATGCGAAACAACTATCTGTGGGTCGCACAAATAGTTGTCCCGTGTGGGAATCGAACCCACGACCCCCGACGCTGAAGCCAATATTGCCAAGGGCAACTGCGCCACGGAGTCATCAAATTTCTAGCATTCAAAAACTAATTTTAAGGAAAGAAAACTATGTACCTTACAGAACAGAATTTATTAACAAAAATTTACATCAATTTAATTACAATCACAGGTTTATTACAAACACATAGTTAAAAGATAAGATAAAACTAGTGTCGTCGGAAATAAAGTCCAGAAATATTGTCATGCATTTTGGTCCATTTTTGTCAACTCTTTCTTAAATTATTATTATATAGCTAAATCCTATAACTGGTACTTAAGCAGTTATAATTAATTACCATAAGAATTAAAAAATCCTATAAATCACAAAAATTTACAATTAAATTTACATCCACATTAATTATAATATAATATTAATTATAGTTTAAATGCAGTTATATTTTAGCTTTTATAACAAATAGCACTGAATCTACTATACATTTAATATGAATGTACATAATTTATTAAGCATCAATATGATTTGTTAAAATTCTCTGTATTTTATTTTTTTATATAGTAATGATGACAATTTACTATAAATTGATGAGGTTGCTGGAACCACAAATACTTATATATATTTTAATTGGCATACAACACAAACATTTTTATTGGATTTGAACAACAAAAATGAAGCACTCCAAATACTCTGAACCCAATTGTTACATTAAGTTTCGTGCTATTCACTGTGTGATTTTAAAAAACAATTGTCTAATACAAAATTAAAAATTCATAAAATATTACATAAATAATTAAAAATTACTTAGTCAATATAACCCTAGTTTAAAGTCATACAATAACTACATCAAAAATCTAAAACCACTCTTAATCATACAAGGCAGGTACTAAAAGAAACTATACTCAAAAACTCAGTCCTTATGTAAATCACAATAAATATAACAATATAGAAATACAAAACACAACACAGCTAAAAATTAGGACATTGAAGGCATGTTTGCCAGTTCATAAATAGTTTCGCCTTTCAACTGAGGTAGACTGGATACTTTAGCCAATGTTGTATCTAAATATTTCTTGTATACTGCTTTGAATTTGGAATTTTCAACATTGACAACAATTTTGGCTAATTTTCTGATAATAGGTTCGATATGTTCTAATGAGTACCCAGAGTAGTATGAAAGTGTTGGGGACCACACTTCTGTAAGGCTCTTGTTAGAGAGCAGGTAGAGGGAGAGACAAATAGCAGCAGCAGCCAGTTCTGATGGTCGGTAATGAGACATTGTGTACTCAACCAAGCTTAAGTCAACAAAATATTTAGCTAGATGATGATTTTTTGATGTTCCATGAGCTGCTTTGACAAACCTAAAAAAATTTAAGTATATAAGAAAAAATAGGAAAAGATTAAAATATATATAATATTTGGAATATCAGTTTTGCACACATATTATTATACTGTTGTATATTACACTGTTATGTATTATAACATTACACTGTTATGCACTACTTGTAAAAAAAAATCATTGGACACAAATTAATTAAATAAGCACAAACACTTCTCCTTTTTTAAAATAATGTGTATTCATATAATAAAAATCGTTTACCTTCTCAAGAAACTGAGGGGTATTGGCCTTGCAAGACAAAATCCAAGTTTTGACATTATATCTCTCTCACAACTAAACACATCAGCTTTGCTGTAAGCATTATCAGTTACATACACAAAGTCACCAACATCTGGTGCATAAATCTCCTCATACTTGCTAGCGATAAACATGGCAGTCACCCCAACCAACTGCAACTGATTTCGTTGCACGCTTGGTACTGCCTGAAAATTGAAAATTTTATTTCATGTAATTGTGTACACATTAGGACTTAAAAGTAATAAAAGATGCATTACAACTCGACAGTAATAAAACTGAACAGACTTAAGCTTCAGCGGCAGATACAATTATTCAAGATAATTTCATCAATCAATCAATTTCATTGATTTAAGATTATTGTGAATAGCAAAATCGCTAGCTCATTCAGCAATTAAAATAAAGAAAAGAAAAAATTATGTAATTGGTGATAGACAAAAGTTGTACCTGTAAATATCTGTCAATTATTCCAACAGTTAGATGGAATGTCTCCAGGACTAAGGAGAATTGACGTTGGACTTCTACCAACCAATCAATAAGAGTTGCCCTCATTTTGCCTGTGATCACACTCTGAAATGTATAGTACAAACACATGTATGAAACTTGAGCTTTTTAACAGCAAATAAATAATTATGTAACCTTAGTTTTTTTTTTTGTATTACAAATCTGTTTTACCATTTGAATAAGATACAGAAGTTTAAAATGAAGTTTTTATTCCAGCAGTTTAACTCATAGTCGTGAAAGTAAATTTATATGGCATACTTGTTTAAATTGTAAAATATTTATGATACTTATGGTTACATTTGTTAAGAGAGAATCAATACAAACCTGTTTGCTCAAGTGATCAAATTCAATAGGGTATTTCTCTTCCAGTTCTGTCAAATACTTATAAATATCTTTTATATAAATTGACATAAGAAGTGGGCTGTTGTTATCCCCTGCATCAATATCTTCTATGTCATCGGGTAAAACAGGTGTTGAAGGTTCTACCAGCTTTGTTTCAATACTCTCTTGTTTTGTCCTAATAGAAGCATCTGATAACTTTAGTTTACCCAACGACTCAGATGGATCCTTAGATACATGTTTTAACAAGTTTTTGGTTTCTTTGGAAATTTCTCGAAGAGCTGGAAGTCTACTTGTCTTCTTAGTATCTTGACTAGTTTTCTTTGTTTGAATATAAATATTGAGGGATTCTTTGAGCTCACTTGGCTTATTTTGTGAATCCTTTAATATAGCCTAAAAACAGAAATACAGTACTAATTAATAATGAAATAGTTCAAACCAGAAGGAAATTTTCAGTGAGCAACATAAATAAAGTGACAAGCAACATCAAAATTCTTTATATACATTTCTATATAAATCTTTTACATACATTTTCAACTGTAAAAAAAAATACTCTAAGGCAATTAGCAACAATGCCTTGCTTTACTACTTAACCGATATTGGAAAAATGGAGATATGCCAGTGGCTATCAAGTCTAACAAACTGTTAAGGTTATAATAAAGATATAATTATGTTTATACCCTTGTTCGAGCAGCAGCTCTTGCAGCAAGAGCAGCAGTGCTCTCCTCACGCCGTAAGGGTGGTCGTGACGATGGTTGTAGTATGGGCTTACTTGCTAGTCCAGTATCTACTTTTGACTGTACATGGCTGTAATTACTGCGAAGAAAATAAAATATAGGTGTCAATTCATTACAATTCCTAATTAATAAGTCTTTGGTTTTAACTTAAACATCAAATCTAAAACAATTGAGGGTACACTCCTATATTGAGTCAATATTTTTTCTCAAATATACTATTCAGATACTACTTGAAATCTATACTACATGTTAATTAATACTGGACTTTGAAAAATGGTCTGAACAAACAATACCAATAGTTTTGACGGAAATGGAAAGAACACTTCTTTATATGAGGGTACTTACCTCCGCAGAGCATGACGATTTCCTTTTTTTTCTAAATCTGCAGCACCAACTGCTATTTTTCCAACATTCACATCGCGTTGAGCTTGCACATTAGTGTTCAGTTCGTCGAGAGCACCACGAACAGTCAAACCTTGGCGCTTAGTTGGTATCGCCAGATTGATTTTACCTTTTGCATATATATTTTCTTGGTCTGGAATCTGCACCTGTTAATAGAATGAAATATAAACATTGTCGATTTGTTCAATATAACACATACAAATAATCGTATCAATTATCTTACCGCCCTAGGTCTCCGAATCTGGATCTCCATGTTTCTTTTATAGGTTACTCCTGTCAGCTCTATTAAACGACCCAAAGTATTTCAAGTACTTTGGGCGCTTCAAAGTGTAATCTTTCTATGTACAGTTTAACTCATGAACTGATAATTCTACTGTAAGGATGTAACTGTTACGACCAAGCTCCACTTGAATGTAACGGATAAAAATTCAAATCAGAATGACACGAACCGTTTATGATCTTCACGCAGCTATGATTGGTTCGCTTGTTTCATGACGGAAGTTAGTTGGTATAACTGATTTTCCTATTCATATTTTTTCTCAAAATGAGAGGCGAATATTTAATCAATCACTATACATATAAAAAACTAATATAATCATGAATAAAAATTATATATTTATAAATCAAAATCGTTCAGATAGCAATTTAGGAATAAAACTGACTCCTCTGGCCATAGAGCTATTTATTGTTTGTGTAATGTACAGACGTTGACCAAACAGCTGGTCCTTTCAATTTAACATTTAAAAAATAAATAAAATCATTCATCATCATTTCAGCCTGTTTGAGTCCACTGCTGAACATAGGCCTCTCCCATAGACTGCAAATAAAAAGAAATAAAATGTATTCCATTAATTTGATGTAATAGTATTTTTGGCATAACTTTCTGTTATTCAATATATATTAAATTTCAATAAGAAATATAATACTTTATAGGTAAAAACCATAGAGTAACTTATTATGTGGGTAAAAACGAATGAAAATGACGTTAATAGATATTTAAATTTATCTACATTCTCATATATAATAAAATAAATATGATACAATGGACATTTACAACAGAAATAATGTAATAACTACGTTTATGATTTACAATACAATACAATATCAGCCTATCACCGTCCACTGCTAAACGTAAGCTTCCCCCAAAGTGCGCCAACTATACCTGTCCTGGATAGCCCGCCTGGACATTTACTATTAATATAATTATCCCGTATCAATGTTTTTGTCGTGTAGATTGCTGTTAGCTCACCGACTTCTGCGAGTCTACCCAGAGCCCACAGACTTGGCTTGACTTGTTCAATGGTGTTGTTCTTGTGCATCAACTACGTTTTTCTCCCGAGTTCGCCGTTCATTTGCATTTTGAATAACGTCATATTTTTTTAAAAGACAAACATTTTGCGTACCACACATGTAAGCAATCGAACCAAACGCACTCATATTAATTTGCAATGATGAATGTTTGTTTTCGAAATCACATGTCGAAAACAATAACGGCGGATGCTCGCCTTTAATTATTCAATTTACTCTAGATACTTTATTTCGTAACCATTGTGAGGAAACCTATAATTATATAATATATATTTTCGAAATAACAACAAAACAGATATTTCCAAGATATATGAAGACCGCCAATCCGCAGTGGGGTCGCATGGTGGACTATGAGACCTGATACTCTCTGTAGACGCGGGGAGGCCTTTGCCCAGCCGTGGGGCATTTATATGCTGCTACTTTACTTTTACTATTATCTTTCATTTTTTGATTTCGTGAATAAAAGGATTGTTCGTCATCGCATCATGGTTTTCATAAATCGTAGTTTTCTTGATAAATTTGGATTCTCGTATGTAAATGATTTATTTCATGTAGGTAACTATGTTTTGTCGTTAAACAATAATTTCGTCCTTATTACTTACTACTTCTGGATAAATATCATTTTCAATTGCGATCCAAGCCGGGGAATGAACCGCCATCTAATTGATCCTTGGATCGTGGCGTGTTGTGACTAACTAGGAGGGGGGATAATTAGCTTTACATCACTCGTCTACAGAATCAGAAGTCGCGAAGTTGCAGTAAAGCAGATTACAGCACCGTATCGCTTTGTGCATCACACTCTGTTGATTCAATATAAGACCCACGAATATTTTTAGCAAAGCTGCTGGACTATCAGCAAACAAAACATAAGCAAATAAAATATGGGTGCTTTGTGTTAATAATGGTAAAATAACAATTTTTAACGTCTATAAAATCGGTGTAATTTATATTTTAAATATTAATGTAATATTGCACGAGACAGTGATTAAATACTTTATTTTTTTTTACGAAAAGTTTTATTGCGCAGCCTGTTAATTACACAAAAAGAAAGAACCCCATTTGACACTTGACAGATAACAGTTAAAAATAATTCGAATGTCGTCGTTCTCCATGCTGATTTGCCGTAAAGAAAAATCAATAATAGAGTAAATGATTATAAGTATAACAGTCGTACGCGTTGAAAGTCTATTAAAATAGAATTCTGTGGTTAAAATACCGAACGGCATAACGAATTTCGCCAAATGTTAGTTAATATATTTTTTAATTGTACATTAGAATTTAACCTTCATGCGGCATTTTAATTGAATTACTAAAATTCTTACAGTTTTTTCAAAAATGGTTCAGAAAGGACCTCGACCTTTAGTACTTTGCGGCCCATCTGGATCTGGCAAAAGCACTTTGCTAAAACGCTTACTGAAAGAATTCCCAGATAAATTCGGTTTTAGCGTTTCACACACTACTAGAGCTCCACGTCCAGGAGAAAAAGATGGTATACATTACCATTTTACTGATAAAAATGAAATGATGGCAGCTGTCGAAAAGGGGGACTTCATTGAAACAGCAACATTCAGTGGAAATATGTATGGAACTAGGTAAGAAATCTCGCATTATATCCATGTGCTCGACATCTAAAACATAGTTGGCAAATTGTCAAACTATATTGTGTCGTACACCTATATTCATTGTTTACAAATAGAGATGTTTATAAAATAAGTATTTTAATACTTAATAAACAAAGGATGAACAAATCAATAAGTGAATAAATAATAGTTTAAAAAATATAAATTATGCACTTTTTTACTAAAATTGTTTGGGTGCTTGGATTAAATTGTTACCATATTCTTATGAAGATATTGTTTAAAGTAGACTCATGGAAATATCTGAATGAGCACCACATGCTTTACTACAATAAATTTTTTTATTGTTGATAATTCATAATTAAAATTTATTGAAAACTATTTTCTAATTTCTAGGTCGGTTATCTACAAAAGCATGTTGTTTACTTTTTTAAACTATTGTGCATTTTTAATTTTTTAGTTCCGTTAGCTACATAAGCATGTTTTTTTTTTTTCATGTTTGCTTGGCACAAAGACTATCAGGTATCAGATTTGGGAAATTGCTAATCCTGAAGGTCCTTATCTGGAACAAATTAAAAACTTAAATGATTACAGTGGTCAAATTTGAATCCCAAGATTCCGTTAGGGAAAAATTTTGAAACAAGTTGCCTTTGTAGGGGGTGAGTAAGAATGTCACCCCCACTTGCCCTCCTGCCGGTGATGAATAGTATTTTTTATTATACAATATTTTATTTTATTTATTTGATAATATAATAATAAGAATGTTATGGGGTTCCCTTTCTTGTCCTTAACTATGGGTTAAAACATGGGTATTTTTTAAATTTGTTATTATTTTGTCTTTGATGTTGGCAACATATAACATGTTTTGCTCCTATTTCTTATTTATATATTAAAGTAGCGAACAGGCAGTATATACATATAAGTCCTGCTCTTGAATCACTCGTATCTAGTGAAAAACTGCACGACTTTATTTTATACTATGTAGTGACAAATAAAAAATAGGGGTTGATAGTAGATGGGCTAGAAATTGAGAGTAATATAAGATTTTTTATTCAGTCATAACAAAATAAAAAAAAATTAGCAAAAAAACTAAAGTTTTTAATTAACAAATATAAAGTAGGGGTTGATCGTAGAGGGGTGAAATTTTAAGGTTGTATGTATTTTTGTATGCTGTATTATAAACAAAGAAAGAAATAAAAACAAAAATTGAACAATCAATAAGAGTATGACACCGCCCGCTTCTTATATTTATCATTTTGGCAGTACTGTGTATTCAGTTTTTTAATTCAAATTAATAAAATGGCGTACTTTCTTAGTGAAAATAAAAAGTTTTAAAAATTTTTTTTCTTGAAAATTCTAAACGTTTGTAGAATTTGGCTTGTTGGTTAATTCTAAAGTGATTTTTCTCTATCATTTAATTTTGTTTTATTAGTCGCATTTTCGAAAACACCTATCAAAATTACGTTCCATTTCACGTTTCGTAAGAGATTTAAAAAATTTTAGAAAATAGCTTATTGAATTTTTAAGCATCTCTGGCAGAAAAAAATATCCTCCTTAACCCACCAAACTTGTACTTAAATTCTGGTGTCTTGATTCAAAATAACCTGACAAAAATATTTGTATTGATCAAAGAGAAATGTAACAATAAATCATTCATCAAAATCTGTTCAGACAAGGTAAAAGGAAGGGGCATATATTATACATACTGGTCAAACAAATAACCCTCCTTTTTGGTTCCATTATAGTCCAATTCATGCATCTACATTAAACCCAATTCTAATGATTTCGCCTCGAATCCAAGAGTGCCATAAATTTCTCTTTAGATGTCAGAATAAATATGCAACAAACCTTTAAATATGAATTGAATAATGATTACTTTTTTTAGAATTGCCGATTTAGAAAGCCTTGTATTTAAATGTCTGTTATTTTTACTTTGACTTTATTTTCAATAGTAATGTTTTTAACTTCAATTAATATTTCGTAACCAAGGTTTTTTTTCTATATTTGATAACCAACCATTGCTTCTCAAGACCATCAAAGCTTTACATATCAATAAATATGATCTGGTTATTACAAATATTTTAAAATTTTTTCAAATTTAAAATTATTGAACAAATAGCAAACTTATTCAAAGAAAATTCACAAAGGTAAATCTCTAATGAGAGTACAGCAAAGTGATTATAATGATTATTAATGTTTTTTTTTTTTGTAAAATTACAGTAAACATGCGGTTGAACAAGTTCGCCGTACTGGCAAGATCTGTGTCCTTGATATTGAAATGGAAGGAGTGAAACAAATAAAGCAAACTGACCTAGATCCACTTTTAGTGTTTGTAATGCCGCCATCAATTGAAGAGCTTGAGAGGCGTTTACGTGCACGCAATACTGAGCAAGAGGAAGCTTTACAAAAGAGATTAGAAACAGCCCGACGTGAAATTGAATTTGGTACATATTGACATTTGTCCTATATTTTAATATGATTATTGCTTTGCAATTATACACTTTGTTCATTTTTCGCAGAGTTTTGAAAAACTTAAGGTGTGAGCAAATCAGTGGACTATAGCAGCAGTAGTTTTAAACTTGAGATGACAGATATGCCACCACAAATGCTGACATATCTGTTCTGACTGCAAGACTACTGTAGTGCTTAAAATCTTCAAACTGGCTAATGCCTATGCTGTTGCTAATGTCCAAACTGGCTTAAGCCTTGTGAAACTGGATGCAATGTGTGATTCATTGCTGCCAAAACTTGTGTGATTTTGCTCATGTCCACTTTCATGCAATCAAAGCATGTGGTTTGTCCCACCAACAGTGCCTTTTAAAATTTTACGAATGCATTTTTGAAGCTGTATTATGGTCACTATAACTCATTATACCTGCAATATAATATTAAATATAGATTTACTTTAATTTAACCTAATTTCTTTGAATTATTTTCAGGACAGCAACCTGGAAATTTTCACACTATCATTCTCAACGACAACTTAGATAAAGCATATTCAGAGCTCAGTGAATTCATTACTCAAAATATTCCAGAAAAAGCTGAAGGTAAATTATACTGAGAATTTTTTGGTTGAATTCTGTTTCTATTTTCCATGACTATGTATCTAACTCCCATTTGTTGGTGATGGAAAAAGCAGAGTTGAACTGTGGTCTGACAAGATCCAATTCTAAAAGCTGCAAGAGGTTAACATGGTAGTATAAAATGTATTACATATTAATAAGGGAATTATAAAATATTGTTTTATAAATTTGTTTTAGTCCCATATGGATATGGTTAAAATTTGAAATCATATAGCCATATAGCATAAGCCTTCTTATATATAGTATCAAAATATGTTTATTTTACAAGTGAAATGCTATTAGACAATTTTTTAATGGTTACTTTTTTTGGTAATAATATGACAAAATATTTTGAACTAAGATAATATTAAGAATAAAATAAGATTTTTCCATTGCCATACGAATATATGGAATTTTAGACATTCATTGGTTTCATATTAATGGTAATTTTTCCACTTTTATGTTATGGTGTTATAGTAAATAACATTTTTTTTTTCTTACACTGAGTGTACCCATAACCCAACTAAACCTTTATTACAGAATCAAACAGCATAAATGAAAACTGAATATTATGAATCGTACCAAGTTACATGTTACATCATACCTGTGCAAGTTCAACAATTTTTTTAGATATTTAATATGTATATGTGCTTTTGAAATTCTAAACTTTTAAAAAGTTTTAAGTGTTAAAATTTATAAGGTAATGGCATCATAGTTTCACACTCATTTAAATTTATATAAACTCATGGTAATATAATATATACACATCTTTCTGAAAAAAAAAGTTTGGAGTGGAATAACGTAAATTAATAATTTTGATAAATTAGAAATGACATAATTTCTTTTTTATGTTTATTATCCTATTGTTACAAAAAACAATAAACTCATGTATTATAATTAAAGCCGTAACGATAAGTGAAGCTTAATTATAACGAAAACTAGAAACAAACAAAAGAAAACATTATTTAGTACAGTACTTACTCATTTCATAAACAAATCATTATGTATCGCTTGTTATGCTTTAGATTAAAAAAATATATTTATAATTCATTTAAATGTAGTGTGGTAAACTTAGCTAAGAATCTGTAGTTTCGTGTTTATGGTTATAAAAATTTTTAATCAAATGCATTAAAGTTTTATGTCATTATAACAACATTTCATATTTGTTTATAAGCAATTGTGTTTTATACTAAAGATATGTTATACTTTAACAAAATCACCAGTCCATGGTGTGCATATTTCCAAACAGAGTGATAATAGACTTCTTCATAATTTAAATTTTTTTTATGATATGTGGTGGCAAGCGAGGTGGCTATTAACCTTATGATAAGTCATAAACGCCGCCCATGGACATTTACAACACCCGTAGGGCTAAAGATGCGTTGCCACCTTTTAACAAATTGAGCCCCTGTTGCCTCACTCACCAGATGAAACGCAAAAGTGTGACACTCCACTGCCGTCTTCTTTGAGGTCGTGGTACTTCCCCAGACGGACGAAAAAAAATCCAAGGTGCATCCATCTTTCTCGTCTCCGTATTATTAACTTATAATAATATAATTAAAATTTTAGGAAAATAATTAAAATATACTAATAAAGAGAAGGTACTTATATTGCATTATTTAAATTATATGAGATCCATTGAATTTTGTTAACTTTACAAGTTGTGTTTGGTAAATATTTTAAAGACATCCAACAACAAAGCATCTATAGTAATGTAAAATTTTTGACACCGCGTCGCCACCCTGCCCTGTCAAACGTTAACTAAAAACGATTAGCACGTTCTCGTAGCTTCGCTTCACGCGTATTAATAACATATCTGTAGTATAAAATATCATTGTTGTAAGTTTATGTACGTACTATATTATTTGACTTATCAAAAAGATAAAAAAATCATTGCTTGTTGAATAAAAAAAAATTACACTTCATAATAATCTATCCTAGGCTTTGTCCCACAAGTGGAGATCAACCAAATTACTTATTTCTTCATAAAATATGTGAAATAATTTTTATACCATAAAGCTATACTAATACATAACAGTATAATATGAAGAAAAGTCACAGTGATAATAGAACATTTATAATTATCTAAACAGAAAGGTTTTTTCTTTTATAATATACTTGACCAAGTATATTATAATCACATGGTTTTCTGTACAAGTTTGAAGTATATGTCAATTACATTCCTAATAAACCTTTCGGACCATCAAGTTGAATTCGCATAGAGTTGAAATCTCAAAAAGTTGAACTTGTGTAATGTTGAATCCTACAAAGTTGACTTCCCAACATGTTGAATTATGATTTCCCAAAAAGTTGAATTTGTATAATGTTGAATCCCATAAAGTTGAATCCTTTAAATTATTGAACTGTTTTTTAGATTATACCTACATCCCACCTATGTACCTAATACGAATCGAATAACATTTATAAGGTAAGGGCAATTTTGACAGATAAACAAATTAGTAGTTGGCGTACGCTGTTTTATTGAACTAAACTTAACTAAAATACAAAATCAACTTTCTTCCACTTAAAATAAGGTATAATTAAAAAAATAAGTTAGAAACCAAGTTTTAATCTGGTTAAATGGATTTTCATTAGAAACATCTTTGGTGAAATTACTCTTCTTTTCAGTTGTTTTAATAAAGATGCATACTTAATGTCAAACAAAATATCTTTCATCCGCCTATTTTTTTTGAATGGTGCAAATAACAAATACCTTTCGATCTTTATATCGTAATGCTTCGTTTCTTTTAAAAGTGTACGGAATACGAGGTACAAGTTAGGGTTTCGTGGTAATCTCGCATTAATTCGCTGATGGTACCCCTCGCAATTATTTGTGGTCCTATGTGTGTCTCCTGCACAACTTATCATATTATGATCTTTGTCATACCATTGGGCTTGGAAGTATTTTAAAAAAGACTTCATTTTTAGCGTAGATGGTGCAGCCTGTTGAATACTTTTCCAGGCTTGTTTCATGAAAGTGGGAGGAATTAAAACAAAATAGGAGCACATTCTAACGATGCTTCTTGCTTTTTCTGTCGCTACTTGTAGGTCTTGTCACTCTTGCAATTTTGCATTCTTTTGCTTTTTTCCAGACGGCTTGATTAAAGTGCTGGAAACACCCGGATAAATGAACAATCTGGAAATATTGCTTTGACAGCATTAATTTGAGCCGCTTCGTAATCACATTTAAATGTTTTTATTACCACAGGCAGCTTCTCTTTTATCAAATTGAATAATCTTGTATAGGTTTTTTCTGTTTTATTTGGAAGAAATGCATATATAACAGGAAATACATTAACTGTGGTTTCGTCTGAAAATACGTCTAGATGGATTATGTAAAGTTGATAAAAAGGGCGTGGAGAAACTTTGAATGTACCGTCACCACTGTAACTACACAGTTCTGACGATTTCATTGCTGTTATGGCAGTCTGAGAACCAAAGTACGATAATTTTTTCTTGATCTCCATCTTCATAAACCGTGATATTTTTAGGCAGTCCCTTCGGAACTGTCACATCTTCAACTCTATTGAAAACTAGCGAATTTGTGCCCAAGAATTTTTTCCGGGTTCTATATAAAGTACTTCTTACTGAAATAAATGATGGTATTTCGGTTACAGGAAATAAATGATTGGTTTCGGTGAAATGTTGCACCATTTCTTCATATATCTGCTCGATAGAACATAAATTAATACACACTTCTCGCTTAATGTCGTTTATAAGCCGTGTTACTTTAATTTTATTAGTATCCGGTGTGCAGGTATGTTTCGTTTCACGTTTTACGTCACATTCATCTTTGGTTAAAGTTACAGTTGCAGAACAAACGTCCCGATTTGTGCACTTCCATCGGGAGGTGCCGTTCTGATTTGTTTTACCATCTTTGGTTAATGTGTATTTCCTCTAGTGTCTACCTCTTATTACGAGAAGTTTCTGTTTCTTTTTATTTGTTGTAAAGGACACTGTTTTATAGGGAGCCATTTAGAAATTTACAAATAAAGAAATTTGGAGTATTCTATCATAAACAATTTCATGAATAAACTGATTATTTACAAATGACATTTTCAAGTTTATGACAAGCATTTAACATAAACTAGTTATCTAGAGAGGTTTTACGTATCTAAAGAGTACCCGTACTGGAAGCTATTTATAGTCAACATACTGGGATATCCAACCTTTAAGGATTTCAACTTTATTATACATTTTACATTTTATACATTTTGCGAAATCGAGAAAAAACGACATTGTGGTAAATTAAACTTTTTGAGATTTCAACTCTAGGCGAATTCAACTTGATGGTCCGGCTAATAAAGATATGTTACTGCCAGTGCCAAAGTTAAGATCAACAAATATGAATAGCTAGTTAAGTAAGAAATAATGTTAACATATTGAATAATATAAAAGTTGAAAACAATATAAAAACTATTTATACAAATTATTATACAGGTGTAATACGCGCATAATAGCCATGGAATAGAATACTTTAAATTCCTTGATACTCCATGAACGAGGAACATTTGAATAATAAAAAATAAATTATTATTACATATATAATAATATTAAATTGCGAAACACCCATGTAATTATTTTTATTAATAGGTATATAAAGTTCTTATTTTTTTCTTTTAAAAAACATGAATGTTTTGAAAGAATTACAAAAAATAGTTTAATATTCAATTTTTCAACATGCTATGGCTTATTTTTGTAAGCCCTTTTGCCATGATTCGTGAAATGGACAGTTGTATTTAATTAACCAAAAAAAAATATGAATTCCTTAATCGATTGTATGGTTTTTTGTCAAAACTAATTTCAAATTAGGTTACAATATTTTTTAAAAATTGAATTCTTCGCAATACGTTACGTGCAATATATTATCTCATCAGGATGTATGTGTGCAATATATATAGTTAACTCATCAGCATTTTTTTTATATTCATAGTAGGATTTATAGAGTATTTGAATAAAATACAATAAATTGAAAAACCAATATAATTAGTTATCAAAAATTAATATAATTAGTATATACATATATTTATTTACCTTACCCTTTGAAGGTTTAACATTCAAAATCTTTATATATATAAATTTTCTGTATGTGTATGTCACTGAACTCTCTTCTTAACGGCTGAACGACTAATGAATTTTGTGTCTTCAGGTCGATTCGGGAATGATTTAGATTCACAGAAATTTTCGAATTTCAGAACGTGTGTACAGGACAATGTCTGTCCGGTCTACTAGTATATTATAATTTCTGATTACTATATAATCTAATTGTTATATATTTGTTACCAAAACTGTATATTCACTACTGAAAATAATGCGCTAATTTCTTGCCTCTGCTATGTGCCATTAACAAAAAAAGTTGAATGCTTGTATGTTGTGGTAGATTGCTTTTAGTGACAAAACTTATTGTGATCTTTTTTCATTTGTTTGTAGCTTTTCGTGGGTTATGAAGGGGAAGGTCCAGGAAAACAATTATTTTTACATCGTACACATTAATTTTATTTTATAGATATTTATATCAGCAACTTTTGTTGTACACAATAGCAATTTATATAGATTTATAAAACACCAACCATTCCAATAAACTGTATTTTTTATTCAGACTTCATTTTCATGTTCATAAAACAAAATTTAATAATTATTACTCAACATAAATATGGTTTTTGTTAGTTATATATATTAATTGATGTTAATAAATGTATTTTATCATCGAAGTATGTTTAAATTTCACCACAACCCCTATAATTTACTTCCAATTTACCTATACTATCTTCAATTTATAACTCAATGCTTCGTCGAATGCTTAAAAAGTTATCTTTAAAAACATGAATATGCTTGTTTACTAATTCAATGTAAAGAAAACTGGTTTGCAGTAACCCTTAAAATAGGGACTGTCACCAATTCCAAAGAACATTTTAATACTAATACATCACATCAATACAAAAAATTATAAGATTATAGGAAAGTAGAAATATTTGCAGCCATTTTCTTTCATTACATGAAGCTTGTAAAAAGTGTCTTCCCTTTTTGTGCGTTACGGCAATTAAGATTTCGATCAATATTATTTTGTTATTATTAAGTTTGTATTAAAAACCAATATTTGCATAAGACTGCTGTTATATTTTCATGGAAAATAATTACACCCGTACAATCATTAATAATACACCAAGTGACGTGGTCAATCATAAGGAAAATATTAAATGTAATATTTTTAATAATATAAGTAAAGAAAGTATCAAATTCACATTTAACAAGAGTTGTTACACACAAAGAAAGTAATATTATAATTCAAAGTACAATACTATTATCTTTGTCCCATTTATCTCGATGAGACTGAGGGGGTGTGTTTTCACAATCACCACTGATTGCAGAGCTCTTGGATATATTTTTAAGAGAAATAGAGCTTCCCATTGAAGCTTGTTTCGACAATGATTTTAATCTAGGAATATGGGAAATATATTTAAAATTTTTAACAGGTAGTGTTGACTCTTTCTTTGGTTCGTAGTTATTGGCTGATTTTGATCTGGTGTGAGTTGCATCTCCCTTGTTTTTCATGCAAGACAGTGGTGTTCTTGTATTATTGGTACTAACTGATATTGCTTTTTTTGGAGTTTCAGTGACAATTGTGTCATCTTCATAAACCAGTAAACCATTGGCATCATTCGGTTGTTCAGCACTTTTACTTTGCAGTACTTTTATTAATACATCATCAGACATTTCTTCAACATTACTTAAACTTGCAACCTCTTCAGCTTTTGCAACAACTATAGGTGTTCTTTCTATTCCTAAGGTTGGAGAACGAGGGTCATTGTTTAAAATCTCATAAACAGGAATATTTTTTGATTCTGACCCTGATTTTATTGAAGTATCTGAAAAAATTTCTTCACTATCTTCAAATATATCATTTCCAATTTCTACATAGTCAAAATTAGTTTCTAGTAATTTTGTTGGCTGATCCATAGTTTCAGGACACAAATTATTTTCAATGCAGTTATTTGAGGTGGTGGATGATCCTAAAGGTTCATCTGTTTCTTTAAGAGTTTCATTCAGTGACATGTCATAAAAGCCATCACATAAATTTTTAGCAACAACTAAATCTTGCTTTAATTGTACAATATCTTCTGATGTACTAAAACTATTTTGAAAGTCATTTTTAAGACATGGGCTAGCTGTAGGATCATCATTATGATATCTTAAAATATTTTTGTCAACTATTCCATTTTCATCATTTGAAGGAATAACTATAGGAGTACGTTCAAACTCTTGGGTTGGGGAGCGAGGATCATATGACTGCAAATGATTTTTTATAACAGCAGAAAGAATAGGGTTGTTATGTATAAGTTTCTCTTCAGCTTGACCACTCTCAAAAGTTTTTCTCAAGTCTACATTTTTTGTAATGTTGTGTTTCAATCCATTCTTGCTCTGAAACAATTGATTTTAGAATTAATGTTTACATTAAGGAGATATGACAGTAATATTCAGATAGAATATCCTTAATAATCAATGACATTATATATATAGTCCTAATATAATGACATTATATACAAATAAGAGGAAGATATGACACAAGCGCACCGAAACTGAGGCACTCAAGAGTAAAAAAATATGTCATGTAATGTAAGGCAGAATAATTTTTAAATGCCGCATTGATACAGTATGCACATGTATCTATCATTTTTATAAAAACATCATTGTAGATAACCATATACATGGAATATTTTAAGGAATCACTCAACAAATAACTATACATACACATAGTCAATACACATTACAAATAAAATATATAATATATAAGAAACTTGAAGTAAGATGATATTTTTGAACAGGAAGTACTACTATAAAGATTGTATATAGGCACGTGTATAAATATACATTGGTCTGAAGAAAGATTGAAGAAATATAATAATAAAGAGCAGAATTAAGTAAACAACTTGACACCAAAATATACCTGCAATGGCGTCCGAGCTATTTCTGGAGTCGGCGATCTAGGATCAGGATTAACTTCAACATTTAAATCATTTTTTTGTACATGACCAGCTGTCTCGTTGATGGATTTACTACTATTAGTACCCATGCTTTGTTTTAAACCAAAAAACACCAAAATAAAATTTGTGCTAACCGTAATACTAAAAGATAGTCATTATTTTGAAACTAGTCTAGTATGTCAATTTGACCTGAACCTTTTTGCTTTATTTACAAATTGGCAGACTATTCAAACAAAACTTAAAACATCTAACTAACGGCTACAGATGTCAGAATGAGATTCTAATTTTAAATTTGCAGTTGCACAACAGTGCTGCCATTCACAATTCTTAGTACTATTATTACTATATTACTATATTACGGTGCTTGAAAATTACATATTTTATTTACCATTAAATTTGTCGAGATACTAAACATATATATTTTTCGTATATATTATTTTATATGGAAGTAAAAAAATCAGTTAAGCGAATTGAATGTTTTTATTTTATGTTGCAGTAAAATAAAAATAAAACATTACTTCATAATTTTCATTTTAAATTACTTTAACATTGAATTTATCAGGAAATAAACAAATATTCATATGAAATATTACTATTAGTCTATTAAAGTTTGAGGAATAGACAATGATATTTTATACTAGTGTTGTAATCGCACCCAAGGTGAAGCTACGAAAACGCCCCAAATAGGATGTCTCGTCTCTAATTCACGTTAGAGTGGCGAGTAAGATAAAGTTAAAATAAAAAAAATATATTATTTATTATTATTATTTTTTTCTTTAAACATTGCCCTTACTTTAAACATTGCCCTTACTTTAAACATTGCCCTGCACACAAATAGTTGTAACAAAGCTAAAATAAAAAAAAAAAAGATTTTATTGTTCATTAAACTTAAAAATATTTTTGAAAAAAGGAACGAAAAGTTTCTCGCCTTGTGGGTATTCCTTTTTTCTACAAAATTTGAATGCTTATTCTTAAGTGCAGGGATTAGCACTATAAAAAATTTAATTTTCTAAAAAGCAATGGCGACCTCTCTCGTTCGAATTATCGTTGTGAAACGATATTCTTCGTCGGTGCTGCAATCAGCCGTTTAGCTTTGTGGCGAGCATCAGGGCATGAATCCCGAACACGTGGGTTCGATTCCCACAGCAGCTAGAAACTTTTCGTTCCTTTTTTCTACAAAATTTTGAATGTTTAATCTTAAGTGCAGAGTTTAGTACTATAAAAAATTTACATTTTTATTGATCTTGTTAATATAAAAGTAGTCATTGTGATCATTAAGAAGATCATTCTGATCAATTCAGAGGGTCAAAACATCATTTTGACATCTCAAATGACTGATGATTAGTTAATAAAACTGGGCGTACAGAAGATTAGTATAGTTACACTTTCATTACCCTTGAGCTGTTGGTCTAGTTAGTGCTATTACTGAAGCAAACGTCAAAATCGTCAAATATTTCATTGTAAGTAGCTTGGAGGACTCGGGCCCCGAAGAAATCTTATTCATAGTTGATATTTTTATGGAAAAAGGAGACGAATGGGAAATAACTCACCTGATGGAAAGTGATATGAACATCTATGCAACACATCTATAGAGGACTTGCAAATGTGTTTATTTACTGTCCAAGGGCATCCCTAAGGTGTGGAGCCGGTAGCATTTTCTGCCTCTTGCTACATTACATATTGGCAACTCGCACAGTATGCATTTTTATATGGTCAATGAAATTTGTGACAGGGGTATTTTCAGCTTAAGCATATCCAAGACCGAATGCTTTAAGCAAGTACTATCCTAAGAAAATATCTCTGTCGTTTAAAGTAAATGAAATTCCTGTGGCCAATGTTTATATTATCATAGACGAGAAATAATACATCTATCGAAAGTACGTATGAAAACATTGGTAGGGCCACGCAAAAGTTGTTGCTGTTGCCCCAATAGGTAGGTCCGTCCGTATAAGCACCACGAGTACACAGAAGACCAGTGTAAAGTGGAACTGTTATACTTCTGTGTTTCGTCTGGTGAGTGAGGTAGCCCGGGGACCACTTAATTAAAATGTGGTAACTGTTATAAATTTCAACTTGCTAGGTAGCCCCGTTTCTGAGAAAATCGGTGGTAACAGACATCAGACAACAAGTACAGTTATCATTAACAATTAACATCTGTATTTTGGGGAAAATTTTGCTAGAATGTCTTGGTATGCAATGCTTTTTTGCTTGTATGGAGTGCACGCAAGAATTTTGATGAAGCCGAAATTTAATACACGAGAAGTCAAATAATGTATATATTTTTTTTTTCATTTATTAAAATTACTTTTTATATATCAATTAGTATACGTAGTAGACAAAGTTTTTAGGCGAATTGACCTGAACATAATATGTCAGCACTGAACTTAATAATAAGTCACATATTAAGTAATAATATAATAGTCAATAATTTTGTAGAATATAATCAATATAATTCAAATTTTTGTAGTTCGGGAAATAAAATGCCATTTCACCTTAAATAAAATTTAATTAGATATTTATATTTTACGTGCTAAATATTCTTGGTTACACGCCTTTTGTATACAATGGAGCACAAACAAAACAACAATCATTATTATCGTAGGAAAGATAGAATAATTGATTTCGATGTGTAATACAATTTAAGTATTTTTATTAGGTTGGCACTTTAATGAACGGCTCCAAGTGCCACGGTGACAGAAGGCCACAATTCGTGGGTTAGACCGGAAGCCAAGTGAACAACGGACTCGGCATCTTGAGCCTTCAGCCAATCCTTCTGACATCTCTCCGGTCGAATTTCCCACGCAGCTAATTCGCCCGTGGTCTGGGGGCGATGGTCGCTTGCACCAATGGCGAACTGGAATAAATTAAATAGTTTAAAATCGTTAAGACCCTTTAAATTGTAAATTGTTGTAGATAAATGAACAAAAATGGTTTCGCGCCCAGAAGACGCAGGTTTGAATTCCGCAGCGCCGAAGGTATTTGTTCATTTATCTACAAAAATTTACTATTTAAAGTTTCATCAAAAGTGGAGACTAGCACTTAAATGAAAAATTAATCTTTAAATCGTTAAGACCCTTTTATATCTCAGCTACCAAACGTTAAAATTTACTTTTATTTTGTGATTTTTTATTGTTTAATTAAACAATATAATAATGTCTCATTTTATTTATTTATTTTATCTCAAATTATTGGTTAAATTTTTTGTGTAATTTAACCAAATTAGAATCTGTTTTGAATTGGCTTAAGTATAATCATAAAATGGTAAACATAAGAACGCACGAGATAGCAGAGAAATATTCCTTTGTGTTATTGATATAAGGGTAAAATTTTTTTGTTTTCATATGATTGATATTACTATCTTGCATTTGTCTTGCAGTTGTTTGCAGGGCTTCGAGTCGATATTAAATACAAATATCTGGGAGGCGTTAAGAGAACGAGGAATACAAAAATAAATTAAATTTTAAAAATTAGATTGATTAGAAAAGTCAACAAAAACTGCTCGGCGTGTATTCAAAACAAGGAGATTCTCTTTCTCCAAAAGTTTTCACAGCTGTTTTGGAAACAACCTTTAAAAGCTTTGAATGGAAAAATGTGTGTTTAAAACTTAATCAACGAAATTTTAATCGACGGCGCACACTAATTTATTATAATTAATAATATTAATAATATTTGCCTAAATAGAATGTTTTAAGTGATAATGAGGATACTTTTAAAAATACCCAATACCCTAGATCACATATTTGGGTACTGTGATCACTTTCCCAATTTTGTAATGTTTTCTTTTTTAATGTAATTTTAAATAACTATACTATTGATTGCAGTCACAAGTTAAGTAAAAAAAAAAACCATTTATTGAGTCATGTTTAAAAAACGTTTTGTCAGATAATGATGAAACTATCTTTAAAAAGACGGTTATTTAAACCTACATGGTTGGCACATAGAGAACCCGCATTTAATGCGTGAAGACCGCTCCCAATATTTATTTAAAGTTATTAATATATATAAACTAATAGTATAAGGAATTTCGGATGAACGAGTAATCGGACCATTTGAGCATATTAATATATATGAATGTAAAACATGTAATTATACGAATGATGATTTGTAAAGCGGAAGCAAGTTAAATTTAAATTTTCACTGATTTTGCATTAATGGAAATGTACATAAATATCAATCCTGATAAACAAAACTTAAATGTCGGAGGTGAAAGCTGAAAATTATAAGTTCAAACCACTTTCCATTTCATTTATAAATCTGTTGCAAGTTTATAACTTTAATAAGATATAGGCATTACCTCTACACGCCGGAAGGTTTCCATTCCACTGAAAATCATCCCCACATGTAAGTGAAGGAGCGCCATGTATTTCCATTTTACTATCTCGACAGGTAAAATAACAAGGTTCGTAAAGACCTCTGCAATGCGCTACTAACGACTTCGGTGTACGGCATCGTTGGGTGACGACGTGAACGTTAAATTTACATATTTGTAGATTCTAGAATAAACATACAGGAATGTTACTAAATTTGATCAAACCTTTGTTGAATCAAGTTCCTTTTTATTTAACTTACCTCATTCCAGTGCATAATTCGTCCAATTATCGTGTAAGTGCCTTCTTCGAGTAACGAACCAATTTTAGGACCGTCCAAACTTCCGAAATGAAAGCTTTTCGGAGTCTTACGTCCGGAACATAGCGACAGGCGAGGGCTTTGTAACATGACACGATCGGATCCAGCTTTGGCAAGAACTGTCCTGTCACGGGGACATTTTACACAATGCTGGGATTCTGAAAGGATTATTTTGGAATATATTTTTATTGTTTGATATTTATTATTTTATTTATTTAAGTATAAATCATACAAACCTTGTAAATCGATACGATTGTCATCACGGCTTCTTAGGCGTCGAATGGATGGTGCTGCCAACACATCGGCATCAACCTCGCCAAATCGAACGACTTCTCTTCCTGGATAAATTGAAGCCACCTCGTAATTTATATTCTGGCTATTAATTTCCTTAAGATAGTCATCAGACTGGTAGAACAAGCGCGGATCTTCTCTTGGCTTGTAGACTTTGATCGGCGTTTTCGCATGGGTGTGCGGCGGGGCGGTATACCAAGACTGCGATGACGCGCTCGGCTCGGCGAACCCGCTGCTATAATCATCGTAATCATTTTCCTTATAAATTCGATTGGTCCCCAAAAATGGACCACGGTGATCGGATTTGCCCGAATTCAGTGCACCAGTGATCACGTGCAACCTAAAAGGTAAAAATTTTATATTTCAACTTAAATGAAACCGTTCATCAACCCAATACCGAAGCCGTAACGGAATATTGAAGTCGATTCCTTGTTAGCTTAATATTCGTACAAATTTTCATTTCACTCGTAAAACTAGCTTTTCTTTAGCTGAATCTAATCAGTTTTTCATCTAATGTGTTTTAGGTTGATTAATTTTATCATATATTTCCCATAATTACTATGGCCTTATTATCTATGGCCAATGGGCGGACTTAGGTTTTTAGAACCCTATCTATAGTTTTTAGATGGCTATCTAGATAACGAGTTACTAATACGGTTGCAAAGGAAAAATAATGAAGGTTAATTATGCTAAATTTTCTTTAATATTCCATCACAATGAAACACGCTTTTATTTATAAAAAAATTGGTGTGTGATAAAAAAGCAAAGATTTAATACAAGGTGATAAAGGGGTTTAATAAAAATTTCTAATAGGTTTCTACTTACGTTATGAGATTATTGTGACGTAGACGAATATGGTTAACTATCGTTAAAGGTTGCATTGTAGGTGTACCTATATATTGTGCACCTATATTATGATATCTTTCTTACCAGGTTGAAATCATTATTTTTAGATTTTTAGTTATTTTATTAACAAGAACAAGCTTGTGTTTTAATAATTTTTTTTTTTAATTTTATTTTGAACTATTTAGTATTATTTTACATTTGAATAACTTTACATATTCCATATAATTAAAGACAGAATCCACATTCACAACAAACTGAACAAACGAACTTTATTTCCCCAAGGTGGGGTTGCATTTCCACGTCCGCCAAACAACCCATTAAACACGTTCCACCCACTAAGACGAATAAAACTCGACACGGTAATTACTGAGTTCCTATGGCCACTTTCCAGCTCCATCATCAGATCCTGGTTACCATCTAGCACCAAAGTATACATCAAGACTTATCAAACGAGTCGAAACTCGTTTCTTCTCGTTTAAACTCGGGGTTGCGTCGTTTCTTTACTGAGTTCCTATCAACACCTTCCAGCTTTATTATTAGATCAGACCCTGGTAACCATGTAAAAATAAAATACTCGTCAAGACGATTCAAATGAGCCCAAACGAAAAAGAAGTTCCGTTTTACCCACCTTACTTGCCATCATCAGATCAGCACCATGTTACCAGTATCATAATATTGCATTGTCATGCGATTTACACATGTATGCGAAATTTTAGCTCAATCGGTAACCAGCCAGTGGATCAAATTTAATTTGCAAGATTACAAACATCGGGACAGGTGAAACTAAATAAAAGCTTGTAAAATACACAGCCGTTATGTTCGAGAGGTTAGGGGTTAAATCGTCTCTGAAGAAGAAATTGACTAAAGATTATTTCTTGAGCTAGAAAGGCATCCAAAAAAAGAGAATGGTAACAAATGATCGGATCAAGAGACAATGTAATAAGAAAATCAGGCCATAGTAGCTTGCCGGTCTATCGACGTCATCTTCTCAAATATTTCTTTACTACAATAAATCTTTTCAACCTCCTTTGAAATAATCTGTGATTTTTTAACTATTTTCATATCTTGTACTGAAGAAACTTTATAGAAACTAAAATACCATAAAATCGGAGATAGTTGTCGTTATTAAAAAAATTACTAATATAAGGATTACTTTAGACGAATATATTTGACTGACTATTCGTTTATAATAAATTCGCGACCATAAGCTTTCTGATCGTGCAGTTTGGTTTCTGGATGTTAATGTTTGTAAAATCTTGTATCTTGTATTAACTGATGTTTTTGCTTTCAGTCCCGAGACTATTAAAGCTTCATCGGACGCAGAACCGGTGGGCTAGCCAGAACCCACGGGTTTGGACCCTCCGCTATGGGTAGGGTAGCGCATGTGTGTTTGTAAAAGCAACTGTTATCGCTCAAGACAAGGAAGATCATAAATTACCTATAATAAGACTGTGTAAGTACTATAGGCATAGGAATGACGCAAGCACTGCTATTTTGGTGTTCGTTGTTTGCTATGGTAAATTCAGATATTTCTATCAACAACACTCCACTGCAATATTTATGTCTTTTATAGCAGATTTTCGTAGAATATTCGACCATGAATGATCGGACATTCATTATGTTAATAAATTAAATTTTATAATAAAGGTTTTGGAATGGTTCGTAACCACAATTTGATTTCTTTTATTAATCAGTAGCCTGACTGTTTCGAAGGCCATTTGGGCAGGATCCCTGGATGTTTGGTAAGATAACGTTTCAGATTTTGCTCCAATAACATCTAACAACCGAACATTATACAAGAAACACTGTCATTATCTCTTTTAAATTTTGGAGGCTGAAAATTGAATATAATATAAATATTTTGAGACAGCGTTATTGGAATGGGCGTCTTTTTGTCGATACATTCTTGGCTTGCGTTCAATTTTTGAGGAACAAACATTCATATTATTGTGTGTTTCAAATTGACTGTTGTCAGTTCATGTATTCTAAAATGTTGTGATAAGATGCGTCTAACAATGCATCACGCACTGACCTGTTGTCGTCCGTATTTGTTTGTCGCGCTTGGAGATTGCCTGAAACAATAAAGCCTTATAATATAGTAACTACTCGTAGTCCTCGCTACTAATAATATTCTCTGTTGGGTATTAGTCATTGTACTACTGGTAGGCGTTACTTTTTAATTAGTTCGGAATTAATTAATACTACTTTGAACGCCGTAGCTTTGCATGGTTAGAAAAAACCAAGTAACATTCTTTAACCTTGTTTTTATAAATTATTATACTTGCTTATTGCTTAAAATATAACGACTTTACTGTACAAAGTCAATGCGGTTTTGGAAATGGTACATAATTGACGTTTCTACAGATTTCAACAATAAATTACAGTGTATATAAGCATTTACATGTATCGGTATTTAACGGTTGAATTGCAACTACCAATTAGGTCAAGTTTTTAATTTTTCTTCCGACTGTCAAAGTTATTTTTATAACTAATGTATGTTACATTTGAACAAAATACAACATGTTATCCAAATAAAATGTAGCTTTTTGTATATTTTATAAAAATATACAAAAATTTATATTTATGAAAATATTTTATAATCGATTCAGCAGTGACATAATTTATCCTATTACAAAGAAACAAATACACCACTTTCTATTAATACTTTATAATATAGCCCAATAATATAATATAGCGTATAATATTCACATTTCACATCGTTTTGATTATCTATAAGTTATACTTATGTAAAACATATTTCTGGGTGATAGATCTTAGGATTTGCTTATAAATACTTGCGCAGATTCACGTGGTTTCCATTGTAGGTGCAGTTGGGATCTATTATGTCTAATAAATTTGCCTCGCAAATACATATTGTCAGTTATAAATTAACGCAAGCGAAATATGACAGCAGAATAATACGCAAAATAATATCAGCATAGAACATCGAAATTAATGGTGCTGCAATGTTTTGGACATAAATATGGCAACCTGCATTGTAATATTGTCATCTTTACATACAAAAATTCTGCTTCCGTATATTTTGTCCACAGAACACAAAAACTAGTTTGTAGCTAACGTACAAATGTCAACTTGGACCGACTTGATATTTGTTCACAAGATAGGTACTGAATAGAAGTGTTTTTTTTATATAGGGACTTTATTCCGGAGTTCCAGTGCAAAGGAAAAAAACTACGACGCTTGGGTCAGCTAAAATTATCATAATAATTAACTCTTAAGTTTTCAGACGTTTGACATTTTTAGATATTGAAGCCCCCAGAAATCAGAAAAAGATTATATGTTCATTGTGATGAACATAATATATATATACATATTGTGTGCAATATTTTTCCAGTAGCAGGGATCGAACCCATAACCTCTGATGATAGTTATAGGTTCACAATCCACTACGCCAATCGAGTCGTCGTAACTTTTAAAGCATGAGAGCTAAATTTAAATTGTCTTGATTTTATTAGTAATATTATCTGCACATAAGATAAAATTAGTAGAAAAAGAAGGAAGCTTTCACCGTTAAGAGGATTTAAACCTGCGCATGTGCACCCGACGCTATCCACTGAGGTAAACGGAATATCTACACACCGATGAAAATGTCAACGTATTTATCTGCTTTTAGTTTTGATTGCATTTTAATAAATGCTTGGCGCCATCTAGTGTGTTTCATTTATGAGAGCATGATAGCTTATTATTACAATTTATATGTTAAAATAATATCATTTATAATACTACATAATTCCATTAACAAGTTGAAACCATTATCATCATTAATTCTTTTAACATTAACGATGATAATGGATTGAATTAACTTGTTTAGGGACGAACATATAACTGAGTCATACCTATGTTTTAAACATCTATTTTATACATTACATTTTGTATCGGGAAAAACTATATTATGACGTGTTATTGGATTAAAACGAGCCGATTTCCATTGCATTAGTGAACGATCGCACAAAGGATTTCTGAGACGCATTATATGGCGCTGAGATATGCATATGATATCACTGGTTTAAAATAACGTTGATGTTTATAGTATTCATTACGACATGTTCATATGTTACTCTCAAGTGCCCACTTGTCGTTTACATATAATTAAAACGAGATGTGTTCTAAACTTCACAAGGATAACCGAGGTTTATGTTCACAACATTTTAATAGAACGGCACAAAAACTTGTTTACAGATTTGTATTATAAAAAGGACACATAGACGAACAAAAGCTGATTAAAGCACGTTTAAATATCATTTTAGTGAAATTTGTGTAAAGAAGTCTTGCATTGTACGGATTGGTTTCAGTTAAAGAAAATTGTTAGGTACTGAATATTGTAGCATATTGTTTCGTTTCGTCATTCTATAAACACTTTACTACATTATCATCGTTACTCTGTTGTAATTAATGATTTCATTGTATTTTTCTCTGCAGTAATAGAGTGTTTCCGTAAAAATGTGTTTAATATTTAATAATTCAATTAATATGTGAATGTATGTACATATTTACATTAATTAAGCGCGCGTAGGTTGATCCGTACCTAAGTGTTTTTTTTTTTCATTTATAATTATATTATCATACGTAAAGTAGAAAACATTCCGTTGAAGTAACGCAGTAACGGATTGCTACATCATCTTGCCGCAAATAATCTTAGGTTCGAAATCTTATCACTACATATTAGTATAAAACAAAGTCGTCTCGCTGTCTGTCTGTTCCTATATATGCTTAGATCTTAATCTTAAAACTAGGCAACTAACAATATTTATTGTTTAACGATCGAGTAAATAACTTTTTTGCGGTTTCGTGATACATCTAAAGAAAATCTCTAATATTTTTTAATTTTTTGAAGCTAATCCCGCGCTAGGAAATTGTTCCTGTGAAAAAATTCACGAATACAACTGCCTCCATAAAGTACTCAAAGGACGCAGTAACCATTTACAGTGCACAAAGTTTTGTTCCGTTTGGGATCGAATCCACGATACTGTGCGTAGCGGCAATTAGCAATGCGACCGCCAAAACCATTGCGCCATCTGTGTAGACAAGGATTTGGGTGAAATTCTATGCTAGATCCCTAATAACTTGTTCTAGAAAAATCTTCAGCTATTGTGATCGTAACTATAACACAATTGTCGTCTGCAACAAAAACAAGGTGATGGCGCGATAGAGGTTGATTAGATGTTATGATTCAACAACATTATTGTATTTATTACAAACGACTCACTTAAATCTTTGTTCGAACCCGGTTAATTATTTGTTTTATAGAGGCGAGCTTATTTTGGTACCAATTTTGAAATGATTTGATACCAAATTTGAAATGAACTATTTTAAACATCCTGCAATCTTTATATAAAGCAATCTTTTAAGAGTCCCTGAGATCAATATTCTAATAAAATTTAGATGTTTTGAAGTCCTAGTTCTCAATTAAATTTTTCTGTGCAGTCAGAATTCGAAATCAATATGATATTTATTACATTAAGTTAATTGAGAGTCGTCTTTAAAATTAAAGATTGTGAACTCTTCTGAAAATATAAGTATCTCGTAAAAATATAGTTATAGGTGAAAAATAAATATTTCTTATTCATAAATAACATTATTGTCACTAAAAAACCAAGTTCGTTAAATTTATTTAGTTAATCAAAACCCGCGGACTGTCTTCTAATGTATATTTCTAATTTTTATTCGTACACTGTGACAAAATTATTTATTTATATAACAATAATACGCAAACATTTTTTTTTTCTTCAAAATATTAATAAAATAACACATGCTATAATATTTCTAAAAACTAAAACTCACCAAATAATGTCACAAATAAGGATGCCCAGAAAATAGACATGTTGTGGTACACATTAGTGGCTGAAAATTTTTCTATGACTGCCGTGCGTAACGTTTCAACTCTCAACACGTTGACGCTGCGCAATGTATAATGTAGAAGAGTTACAACACAGGCGCATGCAGCAGCCAAAAGCGTGTAACGCCCGAAGCCAACTGGTGATAAAAAGCGCGCAAAATCCACACGAGCGAGCACTAGCGAATGGCGTAGGCGGAATGTTATACATTCAGCCAAACCTAGGCTTATATCATGTTCAGATGACTCAAAAAGTAACTGGCAGATAAATAATAGACAATACGTCACTTTTTCGTTTTTATTTTAACGTCACAATAATCAGTTTTACAGACGTAATTACAAATGAAATCGTTGCAACAGGAAATAATGGAGTTTTTTTTAATACATCTTGTTGCAAAATCTGCAAATTTTTTGGCGGTCAAACTAGCTTGTTGCATGTGTGAGTGCAGCACGGATGGTATGGAGGATTTGGGCACGTAAAGGCTTGGCAGGGCGGTACCAACGGGCAACATTCGCCTGGATACCACACCGTGCGTGCGTATCTGCCGCTGGGTCTCGTACATGCGCCGTGATTAAAGCAGTCCGCCTTACAAGGAAAGTCGTAACAGCATGGTCTGCAAAAAAGAAACATTTACTCTGCTCACGTCCAAACTATTCCCATTACGGATCGTGGGTGGCACGTGGCACTATATTCAATAAAATAAACGCGTTTAAATCAAATACTGCACATAAAATATTAGCTACTGCCAGATTGAGACGTTAAAAATTTCATGCAAGCAACCGGTATTTATTTTTATTCACCTATTAAGAGTTTGAAAAGCGTAATATTTCACAAAACATCAAACGTTGCAAATCGAGGTTTAATATTATCGTAAAAGGTTCTTTTAGCTATACGGAGAAAGATATTTTATCGGCGATTTAAAAACTTCTAATAGGATAGTATATATTTGAAGGTGTTCTATCTGGCACTGACGTATTTGATTTAAATATTAAAAAAAAGTAGCGCACCCATATAATATTCAATAACATCTTGCGATCTAGAATCAGGTGCTAAATATTTATAGCTGAAATTATGATAGGCTAGGGACCCGTCTCGGTTTCATTAATGAGCTTTTACAGTCTGCTCCTCTAGCAGATGTAGGGACTATGATACATAAATACTATCATCATCATCATTTCAGCCTGTTTGAGTCCACTGCTGAACATAGGCCTCCCCCATTGACTGCCACGAAGTACGATCCTGAGCCATCTGCATCCATCGACTTCCCGCACATTTGCACAGGTCGTCACTCCATCTAGTGGGGGGTCGTCCCACACTGCGATGGCCAGTACGAGGCTGCCACTCGAGAACCTTTCTTCCCCAACGGTTATTGGAATAATATATTATACTTTATGTAGTTCTGGGGATTACCGAAATACACGCTTACAATCTCTCTCTCTTTTATATTACTATAGACAATATATAATTTCTTTAAAAATGAATTTAAATTGTACCTTCGTAGGTCATATAATCACATATGCTATGAACATTTTGCATGTACAATAAAAGTTCTGCTTTTTATCTCAACCTTAAGACGATTGCCATATATTCCCATATTTAGACAACGATTTGCTAATAACTTTGTAAACACCATCAATGCCATCTTGCTAGTACGCAGCGAACCACCGTGCGTTGTTCCGGATTTTGCGCTGTTTTTGCAACGTACCACTTTGTGAATACCGCAGTTGTCGCTAGCTTTTTTTCCAATACAACTTATGTCATCATCAAAGAGTGACTGTCCAACGCTTTTTGTGTTACAAATATCCATTGGTGGCGTAGCTTGCTTACCATAAAGGGAAACCAGTTGCTATGTAAAAAATACTTATTAATGGAGCATATACATACCTTGTGCGTGGAATATTGCTTGGTCCTCCACAACATGGGGCGGTCTCGCGTTGAAATGGTTGCGGTCGGGGTTGGCCACATCGAGGCCTCTTGTAGTAGATACTATATTCACCCTGCACACACCCATACCTTGGGCATGGTCGGAAACTTTCGAAGCCTCGCGGAAACACGGACATTTCAGTATCTATGGACTCTTAACACCTCGCCTGCGAATCTTAAAAAAAACAGCACGTCAAAGTCGCAAAAGACCGGCAATGTAGCTCGCAGAAACGTGACGGTTGTGAAAAGGGATGTAGTGATAGAGTGTGAAAAAAGAGGACCCTTTCTTGTCCCTGCATGAGGTTTGAAGGAGTCCTGGATCAAAGGGTTATACACTTAAAACCCATGTTTCATCTGACATATTCGCAAAAGCCGGCGACATGAGTACAAGACGCAATCTTCCGTAAAACTCTGGCGGGGCTACAAGAACATCCTGTACGGCTATATGGTGTTGTGTTAGATTAAGGGATTGATGTGAAGCTCATGATTTAGATTTTCCGTCGAGTTCAGTATTTTAGATTGTTTATGTGTATCTGTTGAGCTTCAACATCTTTAACAATATTTTCGAGCGGTTGTTGCGTAAAATTAAAAACAAGATATTACTTCATTATAAAAATAATCGCAGGTCATCGTGATTTCTTCCAATACCGCGGCACAGCTGCTTATAAAGTATGAAGAATTATTCAGAATTCAATGTTCTACTTTCAATCGCTTTGTGTACGTGTGTAACGATCTAAATAAATCACGTAAGTCTAAATTATAGACCATGTGATTTGCAATTGCAAAGATACTAAAAGTTTACGCAAGAGTAAAAGAACTCCTCAGGGAAAAGGAAACCTGAAAGTGCATAATAATTTTCATAGAAATCATGTACTTACAGCTTACAGATTTTTAGGTTTTATGGATATTTTACAATTTTTATTATATTTAATTAGTTTTTAAGCCGTTTAACTCTTTTTAATTTATTTTATAATTTTAACATTTATTTTGCATCTGACAAAAATTTTGTAAGTGTCACAAAACTCATGGCTAAAAAAGTAACTAACCATTAAAGAGTTTTTGAGCGCAAACTTTTTTGATACAAATAAAATTACTTTGCACTATAGCACTAAAATATTCGGCGTCTATTTAGGTACTGTTTTCGTTTAGTAATTGTGGGTTTAATTGTTTAGTAATTAGCCATCGTGGGTTGTGGAATGGTGTAAAAATAATGTAGTATTCCAGAAAAATGGTAAAAAAACTTATCACAGTTACGACACTAATTTAACTGTTTATTTTCTATATTTGATTGGAAAAAAATTATAGCGAAATGCAGAGGTGAAGACCAAAGGATTTCATCTAAAACAAGCATAATAATATGTAGTAATATATTATGATTAAAAAAAATTGCACACCAAGAGAGTGCACTCCATGGTGCCTGCCCATTTGTGCAACAGCCGAAGCTGCTGCCCTTATAGAGTGCTGAAAACATAACGCCCCCTTTTTGTTTCCCTGTTAAATTTAACGCATTTGAATCATGTTTTTTTCTAATAGTCTTCCTTCGATCGATAAGAAAGGCGTGACAGGATAGTGTATGTTTATTATTAGTTGTGAAGTTTGTGAGTAAACAATTTGAGTAAATATTTGGACATACTAACGGCGTCCGTGGCTTCGTCTGTGTGGTGATGATGTTGATGATGATAGCAGTTTCTTTAATGAGGAAACTTGTCAAACGAGCAGATGCTTCACCTGTAGTTAAGTGAATAGTGCCACCCATGGACATTACATCTACAACATCCGATGGCTTGCAGATGCATTATCAACCCTAAAAAAGCGGGCAAAAAAGCAGACAAAACGCGAAACTTTAATACTTCCACTTTACGCAAACAGCTTCTGCAGTTGCTAAGTCCTATCACAGTAAAGTAAAGTAAAGCATAATATGTCCTTTATAACATTAAAAATAGTTATAGTTAGTAATATTCCAGCAAAATTTACACAAAATTTCATTGAAATCGTTTCAACCGTACACACAGAGAGACATATCGAGTTACTATCGAAATTATAATTTTAGTAGGGATAAAAGGAAAAAAATTCTTGTTATATGTGAATCTTTACAGCTTGTGTGTTTTAGGTAAGCTGTAAAACGCCGTCCACCCGTATCTTCCTTATAGGTTATAAGGAAGATACGGGTGAATAACACACAACACAATCAATTAATTTACGTATATACTGTACATACTACTCGATCTATTGCTGAAAACTGTTTAGAACATTGAAATCCGTTACGTACTTTAAAAGATCTAAGCTTATAAACAACGGGAGCGGACCTATGTAAGATATACGTGAATGTGACAGATGATATAAAACGTATGACACGGAGAGAGATAGCAGTTTAGTTGCATTTGAAGTAAAAAGGGTAACGTATGTAATAAACTTGATAACTAATACTGATTTTAGGCAAATATAAATCTTTTTGATATTAGTTAGGATTATGTTAACATGTACTTAGTTTTAATTGCCGATACTACAACAGCTACTCCAGCTTTTTACAGGCGTATGTATCTTCTTCGTAGCTGTAAGTTTGTCTTCTCCTTTGAAATGTCCAGAACAAATTTTATTACGAATTGCCTACAAATCCAGTCACGTTCACTTCTTTCAGTTTGAACTATATATTCATTTATGGCTCTTACATCTAATATACTCAGCATTAAATCTAACTAAATTACATATTATCTTATAAACCCAATCCACGCGGCAAGGCGCCAAGAACGCTAGCTGCATTTCTTCTCTGAATCGTTATGCTCAACCTTTGAGCGAGAAAAGAACCAGCCCTCTTGTTTTGTTACCAGCCACAGCGATAAGTCTAGGACAAAGCTTTCAAAAATTTCGATACGAGAACCACAAGGATATAAATTTTCAACAGTATATGGCACAAATACATTACCTGAGCAAAGAATCATTTTGAAATCGCAAAGAAGAAGTTGATAAATAACCAGAGGACTGTTACTTAAGAGTTTTACTTAACATCATTGCTTACTTAAAAACATTGCTAATAATTTTCAAAATTAAAATAGTGTCAAAATTGTCTAGAATCCATAATATACAAAGTTTATCTAATAAAAGATTAAATAAAAAATTAAAATTATGTCCGGATAAGATGTGCTACATTTAAAAAGATTCAGTTTACAGTTACATACATACAGGGCGCGGTAAATTGTGCCTACAGTTTTGGTTCTAACTTATTCATCTATGAGGCATGGTATCTAGGTATATATACCATGCCTCATATATTTAAACATTTTTTCAAAAAAATAAAGATTTTATGTGATTTTTACGTATTTACGTATTAATTGCTTTATTCTTTCTTATTTGTGAACCATAGTTTTTACACTTATATACATAACACGGCATTTTAGATAATATTTTAGGAATTATGCGGTACATTGACAGGCGCCTTCATTCGCCCATTGTTATTATCAAAGAGAATGTAATCACTACGTTTAAGAGACGGGACTTCCATACTAGCCAAAAATATCAGTTTACGCGGCACACCAATACCAACCATACCACAAAGATGTCAAACAACATGAGTACCAACGTAACGAGCCAAATAGTGCTTATATAATAGTGCTTAACCAAGCTAGCTTAGCTTCTTATCGATATCGATAAAAGATATTAGATACAAGCCGAGGTTTCCACTTAATATTTTTTTATTAATTTTAGTAGGTAAGTATCGAGTCTGTATTTATGTCCAATGTTGATGAGGAGATATTTGGTAGAAGATTGGACTTTAATACGGACCCGAAATAAGATAAAAAACGGTTTCTGTGAATTAAATTAAAATTTTATTACTGAAATGACATTTGTTTCTTGATTCTTCAGCCAAAAGCTGTTGTCCTGCTGTACACGAGTCTGGAAATAATTGAAACATAAAAATAGAATTAAAATCCAAAAATTATTTTAGTTTTCTTGCATAGTCAGCGCACGAAATTTATTATATGACGTATCAATATTACAGAGATTATGTTTCAAAATCCTGCAAAATTCAATTCCTATTCCGATCCTTGCTCATTTATGTAGGCACACCATTCAAATACGTAAGTTTAAGTTTAAGTTTCTTTATTTGCTGATAAAGAGGTAGTACAGAAAAAAAATTTTTGGTCTTGTTATCTTATTGTTGTCACAAATGTCAACCTAACCTATTTTAAACAGCATGCAAATGTCCAGAAGATATATTTTTATAATACAGTTGTCTAATTTTTTTTTTTTTTTTTACATGTAACTAAAATTGTCCTACAATTTTAATAGATATATTAATTAATTAATGCATCGATTTTAAACAAAAAAATAATATATGAAATTATATTAACAACATTAATTAGGTATTACAATTTAAAAACTCATTTATTGTGTAAAATAGATTCTCTAGTAGCCATCGTCGTAACGAAATTTTAAACATATTATATGGTAATTGTTTTATATGTGAGGGTATCTTGTTATAAATAGTATTGCACATTGCATAGCTATTTTTTTGAAAGCGCTTACTTTTAGAAATTGTATCTAGTACTAATTTATCTTGGTTCCGTTAGTTTATTTTTGTCACATCTTTAGCTTGTAAAAACATATTCTGGTTTTGTTTTACAAATTTGCAAACCTCAAATATATAGAGACAAGGAAAAGGAAGTATATTTAGGGTCTTAAAATAAGTCCTGCATGATATATATGATGAAATGTTACTAAGAGCTCTAATACAGCGCTTTTGAGCTAGAAATACTTTTTTACATTCTGTGCCATTACCCCAAATTATAAGTCCGTATCTGATAATAGATTCTATATATGCAAAATACGCTGTGATCGCCGTATTTATGTTTGATATTTTTGCTAATTTATGTAACGCGTATACAAATCTGTTGATTTTGTTACACACTTTATGTATATGTTCCTTCCAATTTAGATTAGAGTCTATAACTAAACCTAGAAATGTTGTATTATTAGCATTCCGCAGTAATTGTCCATTATATTTAATATTTATGTCAAAATTTAAGTTATTAAAATTAATAATATGCGTCTTACTTAAATTAATGTGTAGATTATTTTTATTTAACCATTTATCTATTAAATTCACTGTTTTAATTATGTCTGTTTTATGTTGCTCTAGTGATTTTTTCTTACTTGTCGTAATCGTCACTGAGATGTCATCGGCGAATAAAGTGATTTTGTAGTTTGAGACATCGGGTAAATCATTTATATATAAATAGCAATAAATAGTATACTACCTTGGGGAACGCCAAAAGTGTTTTTTTTGAATTCCGATCTATATACCTGAGCTATGTTATTTCGATCTAATTGTGGTATTTCAACACACTGTGACCTATTTTTTAAATAGCTTTCTAGCCAGCTGTAAGCAGGACCCCTTATTCCATTAGCCTCTAATTTGGCAAGTAATTGATCATGTGAGACACGATCGAATGCTTTAGACATATCAAGAAATAGTACTGTTGTATAATTTTTTTGATTCACATTTTGCAAGACTTCCTTTACTAACGTAAACGCAGCATGTGTTGTCGATTTCTTTTTTATGAAACCATGCTGATTTTGTTTTATTACATTAAATTTAGTGAAAAAGGAAGTAAGTTGGTAGTGTATAACTTTTTCGAATAATTTTGAAAGGACTGGGACTATTGCTATTGGTCGATAGTTAGTTATATCACTTTTATCTCCCTTTTTGTGTAACGGTTTTACTATTGAAAATTTTAATTTGTCAGGAAAAGTCCCTGCTGTCAGGAAAAGTCCCTGCTAACGTAAAACTTTGTGCCCCTACTCTTTCACGAAACATTTTATTTCTTATTTTTTTTCAATGATAAACATTAATATAGTTATCGATATGTGGATGTTACAGTTGCAGTCGCAGATCGCTAGCACACAATTTAAATGAGATAAATTTTTAAGATTGTTAATTTTATTTGTTCTTAGTCTGCTCTACTTACATATGGCTGCAAAGTATCATATTTAAGCGCTTACATGGGCTTCATCTAAGGGAAATCTCCCATAAAGATCCTTTTTTTTCAAGATTCGAATGACTTGCTCGATTTTCACCAATTTCACAGGTAATATAACCGTCTTTTAGACATTTTGAATTAAAAGTACAACTCTGATCCCCTGCCACTAGTTTTCGTGAGGAAGTTTACTCTAAACTATTTAAATTTACAATGAAATAAGCATTTACATTCAAAATACGCGGTGCGAAATTAAGTTTTGACAAACAACATGGCACTTCTTGTATTGCAAGAAAGAGAAACCGCATTAAGGGAGAGTGATAACAATGTCCGCCATTATTTGCCGCGTAAAGTCCATAGAAAAATTTTTTGTTCCTAGTTTCACCAGACTGGTTATTATGAGACAATCTAATTATACCAATTGCCGTAATTTCAGTGGCTCAGTTTCGGCGCGCTTATGTCATATCTACGTCGTATTTGTATATAATATTATGATCGTGTAGATTAATTTTCTTAAATGGAGATTTGTAATGATTGTTATAAATACCTACATATTAATAAAATGTTATGAACACAACTTCGGGTCTGCCTAAAATAATTTGATCGGTTAACATATTTTTATTGTTTCAATTTATAAGCACGTATTAATAAAATGTTATGAACACAACTTCGGGTCTGCCTAAAATAATTTAGATCAGTTAACATATTTTTATTGTTTCAATTTATAAGCACGTTGTAACTATTGTGTACATTTGACGTATCAGTAACCTTCTCTGCCAATAATTTTAATTTGTGTATCTTACGTTTTGATGTGATTCACGATTTGATTTGACTACGGTTACGGCATAAATTTATAGGTTAAGATGCAATCAGTGGCGCGGTGATAAATTGTCATGCATCGTTTCGTCAATTCGTCAATGTTCCGGTCAGCAATTTGTTCATTTGTCTACAGGGACTTAGTTCTAGGTAGCTATATGCTATAAATAATCGACAGAAATATGGATATAGCGTGTCCGAGTGTTATTGTTTAACACTTTCCAAGTGTTGGCAGATACAACTGTTATATTTAGAGGATGGGCAACGAATGAGAAACGGGCAGAAGAGGCTCACGCACTGTAAATTGAAATTATTTTATTTCTAACGTTATTTCCTCCAACCACATTCATACACAACAATTTTTTTTAGGCACACCACGCATCCATCACAACATTCGCGTCTCTGCCATTTGTATTTTTCTTCCATCCATTTCTTTTGGGCAAACACTCGCATCCATACATCACAATAGGTCTCACCACCATCTTATAAATCTTCTCATTATCCTGAGGTTCAGGGTTGAAATAAGAGAAAATCTTTAATGAATATAAGGTTTTCACTTATTTCAATTTAATAAGCTAATATTAACAGTAAAATTAGTTTGGTTACATTAGATACATTGACAAAGACACTAACAAAACAGATTGACAATGACATAAGCTTATGGCTGCTAGTTTCAAATAAGAAGTTTACATCAGGTGTCAATAATGGGTCAAAAGAACACAACAACTTCAGAGAACTGTCGCCATTTCTTCCAGCCTGCATATATCCTATTTCTAACCACCACCACGTACCCCGAAGCAGAAGCCAATAACTAAGTAACTGCGCTACTCATCACCAAGAATTAAAAAACCTAAAACCACATGTATCGCACCGTCTACTGGTAATCGTATCTGGAAAATCTGTTTGGTAGTTTTTGAGTTTATCATCTTGAGACAGACAGATGCCATTGTTTTATAAAAATGATAGTAACACTATCACTTCATTTTATATATATATAAAATAAAACATACATACTTTTTTTGAATTTGCAATTTTATCGCACACAAAAAAATGAACATAATTACTATGTATAAAAAAATTTAAAGACATCCAGATTGTGTAAAAACTTGTTTTATTAGATTTTTTTCAAAAAATATATTACACAATACGTTAGACAGAATATGTATAAAAGAACTAAAATCGAATTTCGTAACGCGTTTGTTTTGAAAAATATCGACCAAAATCTTTTCATTGGCTACCAAACCGGCATACAAGGGCCGCAGCAGCCACCGCAAACTGGCACCCCTGGATAGCTGCAACGTTTCGGGCAACAGACAGCGGGCTCCGTGCAACAGTAGCATGGGCAGGGCTTGCAACGATTCGGTCGGCAGCAGGGGATCGCGACGGTGTCACATAAGGGTTCAGGACGTGCTACTGGTCTTGAGGGCTGTAAATAAAACGATATCTTAAAAATAAACTCATATGGAAGAAGTTAACGATCACTTATTTGTGAGCAGTTGCGGAAAGATAATTATAACATGTATGGTGCACTGTTAAAACCGCAGGAAAGATGGAATTTTATCGGATAAAAGATTAAATTAAATCAAGACCAAACATTCATAAACCTAAGAATAAATCTAATAGAGCTTAAAGCATGAAAACCTGATAAAGAATATTTTTGTAGACGCATTAAGCTAATACGCTGATGTGAGTTGCTCTAAAAACCTGGCTATGTACTGTCCTAATAGAATGATAATGGCAATGATGTTTATGCACGTCTATACTGCGCGGCCTTTAAAAATTGTTCTGCTTTACATTATGACATTAAATGAATGTGACAGATGATATAGAACGTATGAAACGGAAAGAGATAGCAGTCTATAGAATTGCAACCTAACTACACCAATTGGCGTAATTTGAGCACCTCAGTTTCGGTGCGCTAGTGTCAAATCTACCTCTTATTTGTACATAATATCATTGGATTCAGGTTGGTGAATGATATAAAATGTACCTTATCACACGGCGGACATGGAGGTAAACACGGAAGGACGGGTGGTGGCGGACAAGGTGCTGGGCAAGGTCTCACTGGAGCCGGACACGGGGAGCACCCTCCTCCTGGACATACAGAGCACGCACTGAGATTATTACATGAGGCCACACAAGGTTTCGTCGTGTAAGGATAGCAAGCACCGCAAGGTTGTCCTGTACAAACGCAAGGATCGAAACTATAGAATGGCGCACTCATTTTAGATTTTTACTATTTTTATAAAATTTAAATTATATAGGTACACACAAAACAATTTGAAACGTTTGTCAGAAAAGTGTTATTGCTGTTTATATTTCCATTTTCACGTAACATGGAAATCTTAACTGCCAGATATTTTTATTAGATATATTTCCTCGGAAGATATAAGTTGACGTTTCTAAATTAAAAGAAAACGAGACGTCAAATGTAATTTGTAAAATAATGTAAAATAAAAAGTACATTTAGAAATAAATTTATGAAAAATTATTAAGTAAAAATTGCAAAACAGTATTGGAAAAGGATAAGAGGGAAAGGGCAATTCGGAACTTAAATTTTGAAATAATCGAGCGATGTGTTCAACATGTTTCTGCCCAACGTGCCCACCGATAATACCATGCGGTACCGGTTGTTGCCACTACTCGTGCCCGCCACCACCACACTGCTGTCAGCCGTGTTGTCCACCGCCAACACCTTGCACGCCTTGCCCGCCTTGCACTTGTAGACCGGTCTATAGGCCATGCCCGGCCCCTGTCATACCGGATATAGTACCTCCGGTCGTACCGATTCTGCCAGTCTGCAAGCCACGCCGGGCGCCACCGTGCGAGCCACCGCCATATCCGCCCTCAAGGCCGGTTTGTTGCCCTCCAGTGTTGCCGTGCTGTCCGCCACCAGAATGCTGCGACCCTCCTCCGGTAACATATTTATAATAATTTTTATGAACATAAATATGCCAAACAGCATTCAGTCCTACTGTGTTAAAGTTTGTCCACAATGCATATTTAATATTCATGTATGTACACGTGTTTGTACAAGTGTACATACATATACATGAACATTATACTCTACAATAACTCAGTTTAAGTAAAGCAAACATATTAACATAAAAAGTCAAATGTATTTAGGTGAACTTTTGACGCTAGGAACTTTTGACAATGTGTCAGTGTACTTTGGAAGGACCGGGCAGTAGCAGGAATTATCGTAACACTCACGTTTCGTCTGGTGACGTAACCTTTTTTTTTAAAGTTTGCGACTCATCCGCCACCCACTCAGGTCCCGTAGATGTTCACGCGATTTGGTAATCACCTACCATACGAGTAGGTGAACGCCCTGCTCGCTAGCCAACTTGTCACATATAAAATATCCGACAGTGTTGTTATTACATGTGCATTATTTTTACCTGTATAAATTTGCTTTGAGATGGCATTTCGTTTCGCAGGTTTTACCGTGTCCGGAGCCGACGCCTTGTTACCAACCGGCTCTGCCCTGTTGCAACCCACAATGCCCCCCACCGATAATTCCTAAGCAACGACCGATATGCCCACGTCCCCCGCCCTGCCCGTACCCCTGTCTCCCTGTATGCCGCAGCTCTTGTCCAGACTGCGAACTGGACCCAGTGACGAGGAGGCGGCCGTTGATCACGCACGACAGCGTCTACCAGAACAGACCGTCGGGCTTGCCGGCAGAATGTTTCACTCGTCGGAACCCCAACGTTCGGTATTCTGTGACGAACTATGTTAAACAGGTGATTTTCATTTCAGCGTGATCTTAAAGTATTTTTTTAAAGCAAGAAACAAAACCGATTTCAAATATCTCACTCAATCAAATCAATCAATCAATTAACCGTTTGCAGTCCACCGCTGGACATAGGTCTCCTCAAAGGCACGCCACAGTACACGATCTCATGCTTTCCTCATCCAGCCACTACCAGCGACCTTTCTCAGGTCATCGCTCCACCTGGCTCCATTCTAGAAGACGCTTACTCCAACGCTCATCGGTTATAAGAGAGATGTGGCCAGTCCACTGCCACTTCAGCTTGCTACACTCAAAACTATTATACATTTTCTGTTTGATTTTGAGGAGGCCCGTAGTGTATCTCAGAAGTTCATCATCAAATATAAATGAAATCAATATGGGACCACATGGGAGCTAAACCGAAACAATGCACAAACAAATTTTAAAATCGGTTCATAAATGACAAAGTTCTGAGGCTATAAACATAAAAAATAGAAAATAAACCTTGCTTGTTTTATTAGCGTTAGCATTTCTAAACGCTAGAACGCTAGAATCGTAAGGGAAATGTACCCTCTTCGCATTTCTTTTTTTAGATGATCCCTTTATTTACGGTTGGTGTTATAAATTACTGCTAAATATTTTCAGGGTCCACAGTCAGGATGTGCGTACGCAGTTAACGTGCCGCTGAGGTAGCCGACACCATTGTCTTGTGCACTTTTCAAAAACCCTTCTGTGTTGTCAAATAAATTAATAATATAAAGTGTAACTTGTTATTTTACTCTATAGCGTGGAGCGTAACTGTCGTGTGTTTTGTACTCTAAAAATTAAGGAAAATTAATTTAAATACCAATGAAAAACATTGTTATTTTAAGTGTTCATAGAATCTTGTGTGAAGCCGACAAGACAGCTACACAAGTCTTTTACCATGAAAACCTTACCCAATAAATCAAAGCATCTTGGGTATATACAAAACGGTATGAGCTAAGATCCGTTTCATCATGAGTGAGTGAAAATATAAATCATTAAAAGATGAATTTTTATATTTCATGAACAAGAACAAGACCGACATGAAGTGGAATTGTTATACTTCTGGTCTGGTGAGTGAGGTAGCCGGGGCCCACTTTACTAATGGTGGCAACGCATCTGTAGCCTTACGGTTGTGACAAATATCAGATGAATGCACCACCAGCTTGTTTGCCACCTTGCCACATAAAAAGCATCTACTGCTTTATTTGGCAGTTTAGACGAGTTTTAACGCTGCGTTTTAACGCTTTGCGCTGTTTTTCTTCAATGAGCTTCTTGTTCAAAAGGATTCATTAATCGAATTTCATTGTCTACTTATTTACTTTGAAAGTTTAAATAAGCTTAAATCATATTTTGATAATGTCGTATTGTTTGTCGTATAAACAATTTAAAATGCGCGCTTACCTTATTATGTAAATGGCAACCGTTATTTTTCACAATATTTTTGAAACAATAAAACAACGAAGCCGTTAAATCACAGTTATATTATCACTGAAAATAGTTGAAATAACATTATATTGAATTGTAGCGTTTGGGCTGGTGATTCATTCTTCATTTATTCTATATTTTCGTCAACTGCTCCTCTGATGTTCTTTACATGATCTGCGTGTGACAACTGTATATGTTGATGCATGGATTCAGGTTGTAACACCTTTGCGTTGGCGGTACTGTATTCTGACATACAAAGGGCCCTGGGACTCCGCAAGTGTTGGCAATCGGAAGACAGGCTGCTGGTACGTTACTGACTCCACAGCTGACCATTTTGTAATCTGTTATACTTATAATTTAGAAGTAATGTAACGGCTGCACTTAAGCAAATGAGAGGGGCGTTACAGTTAAGACATATATAAAAGCGTTGGGAGGCCAACGCGATTAGAAAACAGTTATAATATTTCGAGACTAGTTGGTCCGTAATCCTTATTTACAATATTCCCATAGGCTATGCATTTATTTAAGAAACAAAAAACGATTGTAACACAGGATTTGCATGATTTTTAAATTCAAGGTCAGAGAAAAACTTTTTCATTAAATTTAGGCAATCAATCAATTTAGATTTTAAGATATTAATGGACGTATTATAGGAAACAATTTTACACATATGGCTATAAAGTCAAATGTGATAAAATAAGAAGAAGCTATATGTTTAATTGATAGCATAATTGAGAGGTTTAAAAAATTTAAATTAATTAGTGACTCGTATTTTATGCCACCAATGTCTTGAATGCGGCCGTAGACGGTCTAAAAATAGTGTACACAATAACAAGGGGTTATAGAGGCCCGATTAGTTCGATTTCGAGGACTTCTATGTGACATATATTTAATGATTTATTAAATTTTCTTTCTTGTAACGTGAGTCAGGGTCTTAAATTTAAATTTATGTAATAACAGAGACATAGTCGACATCAAAGTAGAAATAAAATATTTTGCTGGCGGCGAAAGATCTTATATATAAAAATAAAGAAATATCTATATATAAGAAGAAAGTGGTTAAAATCTGTACAAAACAAGTAGAACCAGGCAGACGTTGTTCGCTGCTTACGGCTTTAACGGTCAAATAAATAGCAGTAGCGATAAACAGGCAACAGATATAGATTACCACCGATTTTGTAGTAAACTTTATATTTTAATATTTCGAGAAAAATTAAAAAAAAAAAGGTTACTTAGTTTATTTCGCCTGTTTCTTCTCTGTTAGAGGAACCGATAAGATTTAAAATCTTGCTAATAGATAAAATGTATGTTTCTTTTTTCATGAGTAAATTATTTGATTTGATTGAATAATTAATTAGTGAAGGTTGAAAAAAAAACATTATGTATATCATTCATTTAATAAATAAAACTGACCGCAAAAAATTGTACATTACACAAAAACAAACAATTTACACCAAAATCACGATATACAGGAGGACTTCATTGATTTGAACGCGATATTCCATGATGTCCGATTGCAATAGTTGCTTTGTCAAAGGCTGCCACTGGTCTTGGTGGTTGTCCCACTGCTAATATCGCATCTGATGAAGAATTAATTAATTATTATTGAATTGTTATATTTCACACTACCATTTCTACTACTAAAAATTTTGAAAGTTAAAAATTTAAAAATTTACATTTTGACACCCATAACCCGAATTTACACATGTTCGAAATATCTGAGGAATCATACTCTTGTACCTTTTAGCACTAAGTGGAAAGGCCACTAGGTGGAAGTGCCTTTCCACTGAGGGAAATTGCAAAAATACCAATCAGATCACCCGATGGTTAAGTCCTCCATCGATTATAATCCCGGATCCCGTGGGGATGCAGTTGTACGACCCTGGTTTACCTAACTCATCAGAAGAAATTAAAAACAAGTTCAATAGTACACCAGTCTTAGCTCTAGATCGTGGATCTTCTTCCCAGAATTAAACAGCCTATTTATGAAACAGCGGAATTTGTTTTGATTCACAACTGACAAATAAGCTGAGCATCATAGAAATGCCCGAAAACCGACGCAAATTGGTGAACGTCAATTTTCATGGCCATTTTATGAGCATAAGTGGTTGTATGCACCAAATTTATCACCGACTGCTAAAACAAAGCTTCAATCTTTATGCTCTGATCGTTATTATGTTTCTCAAAGTAATTATCTAATAGAGGTTCTAAGGATTCTTGCAATCGCGAGTGTTCAATCAATCTATGTTTATAGCACTTTCATAAGCATTTTATATGTTAGAAAAATAGCTGTGTTAAAAAATAACTTAATCCGCAGTAGCGCATTAGCGGTGACTGGTCACTGAATATGTGCTACTTGACTGTAAACTGTAACAAGGGAACCACTGCCACAGCACGAGGGGGCGCAAGGACCGCAGCAGCTTGTACTGCAACCATCACAGCCGCCCCTGAAATAATAATAAATAAATAACTGGTAACTGGAGCCGTGATAGCTCGCCTTTAATTCAATATACTAGAGCAACCCGAGTTTACCGAGGTTACCAATGAAATTGTTAATTTTAAGTGCCGAATTATCACGTGCTCAGCGGTGAAGGAAAACATCGGGAGGAAACCTGCAAATTTTCGAGGCGTGCTCACGCCCAGTACCGAGGGACACCGGTGCGTTCCATAGGAGATCCCGGGGTCCCTCTAAACGTAAAGAAGGTGGCCACCGAGGTCGTTTTAGATTTTCTTTTGAAGATTCCCCCCCCCCCCCCCCCCCCTCGATACCAAAAAAAAAAAGGTTTCGATGGAAATTGAGCATTAAAATTTAGTTTTTTGGAATAATTTAAATTCTTGGTAATTTTTTCATAACCGGGAACATAGATACTCTTTCAAATGATATGTCGCACATTGATTTCAATAGTATGTTAAGGGATATGTGATGTACCGAAAGACATTTTCGAGATAATATTTATGGTAATAAACGATATTTTGGATAAAACGAATAATGATTTCGAAGCCGATGAATGTAGGTAGCTTAAGATAGGTGACAGTCTGTGGGAAAGGCCTATGTCTGGCAGTGGACTAAAACAGCAACTGATGATGTCTCTGCCATTCGTAGAAAGCTGCTAAAAGGGGACTGTGGGTTTGCGGATGATAGGACGATAATTTAATAATTTATTGCCTAATCTTTTCAATGAAATAGTGGAAATACGCAACAAAATAAAATGAAAAAACAATCATAAATTCGTAATGCGTTACACTCACTGAATGGCTGACATAATAGTTTGTAATTGACTAATAACGCTCATCCGATTGCACATTTTACAATTTGTATTCACGGGTAATTCGTAATTGAAAAAAAAATACTTGGTACTTGAAATTTTACTTTTGAAATGATAATTTATGATTAAGTGACACTTTTGTTTTTAAACTTAAATAAATTGACGTATTCTTCAAAATTGAATTTGACAAAAGAAATGAAGGTGTTTTGAAAAAGGTTAATTGATTTAATTAAAAATACGCAGTGGTTAAAAATGGCGTTCCTACACTTAAGAAAAATAAGTGGCCACTCATAATTTCTTTTCAAATATATTTTGTTTCACAAAAACGTTATTTATTTATTTATAAAATTCATCTATAATATTTAACCTGACATCCTAGTTTCCACAAGTATTATTGCCAAAAAAAAATATTTGTATAATCGATGATGTAAAAAATATATTCAATTTCAATGTCAATATATTGTAATAAGAAGAGGATTGGCAGAAGTTCTAAGGAAAGCGTCTGGTAGGGAAAGCGTACGCGCAAATAACAGCTAACATATTATCATGCCATCATGTTTTCTTTTTAAATTTTTATAATAACTGCTCCGAAAAAACAAAACAATAGTTAATTATAATATAGTTCTTCTTCTAAGGCGGTTGGCGGTCCATGTGATATCGCCAATTCAATATAGTTTCATAGTATTGGAATTTTTTTAGCTTTAATTAGCCATGATAGGTCAGTGTCACTGTCAACGCTTTCGCTTTTTCAATAAGCTCGAGCAAACATAGTTCAATTCCCGGTGCCAGTAACAATGAAATTTTTAATTGCAATTAAAGTGCGGCCTTACGTTTTCTGCGGTAAAGGAAAATATCCTGTTGAAACCTGCATATATTTTAAATAACAGCAAAAAAAATATATTTTTAAGATATATTATGAAATTTGCCAAACAGCGTGGTAGACTACGTCCTAAATACCCACTGTATAGCGGC